CCCCCGCCCCCCCCCCCCACCCCTTTCACGGTCCCAAACGGAAATGAAACTAAAATTTCTATCGGTGGCGGCTCGTGATGTTCAGAATGGAGGCGAGTGGAGGCAGGGTTCCTACCTCCGTCGACGACCAGCTCTGGCTGAATGTCCAGAGCCGCTCTTGCTTCCCGAGTTGTTATTCTTATTCTTATTGTTATTCTTCCCCGAAGAATAACAAAACAAAATAAAGACTTGCTGCCGGGAATCTTCGATCCCGATTTCGAGTGTCGGCGGTGCGCGAAAAATCGACCCGCGTCTTTTCCCCGTTCGAAACCGTTCCGAGGGCCGTCGAAGATACTGCGTCGTCGAATCTCCACTTCGCCTTCTTTTTTTTTTATCGGCAATCTTTCTTCATTCGATCCGCTTCCGAGAGGGAAAGTCCTTTCGTCAGAAATGCGACCGGAAGAGCAAGCGAACCGCCCGAAAGGCCGTGACGTCACCGCCGAAAAGGATCCTATCCCATCAGGCAAGTTGCTTCGTGGAGCGAAAAGAGACTCCATCGGGAACGAATCCACAACGAGAGATAGTACCGAGAGCGACGAAATTCGTAGCAGAGATGCAACGCGAGCAGTCGCAATTTTCGATCGCAATCACGAACGCCATCTGCTGCAGACAGACGCCAAGCGATACGAAATGGATCGGAAAGTCGCAGACGAAACGACCGAAACGCTCGGAAGCCTTTCTCGAGGTTTGACCGGCTCGAATGGAAACGACCGTTTCCGACTTGGATCGATCTCTGGAGACCGGAGGAGCGTGGAAAACCATTTCGGAGGTTTCCACCTCGTCCCCGAGTTTCGAGAAGCCGCGATTCGCTTCTGCCGCGAAGGACAGAGGGTCCGATCGGGAGTGGAAACCTTGGAAATGCTTTCCCACACTTCGGCACGAAATAGGCAGCATGACCTCTATTCGTGGGAGAATTTCTCCGTGAAGAAATATTTTAGCTTGCAGAACGATGACCTTTCTAAAATTGCTTTTCGAACGTGAGAATTTGCGCTTCGTGCACGAATGGGAATCGTATGGGGACATAAAAAGGCCGGAGTCGCATGAAAATATTATTTTGCATCGTTCGATCGTACTCGATTTCCTTGTGGGAAACTGTCGCAACTGTGTTTGCACGGATTCCCGATCGGCTTCGGATGGCTGGCGGTTAAAATGTTGTCAGACAAAGGTGAGGCGAAGTCATGAAATTGTTTCACGCGGAACGTTTCTTGCCGGGACTGAGTCTCGCCGTTTCTTCTGAAGGATTGGTTATTTTTGAAAAGCGAAACAATGTCAAAATAAAGAAAAATAAATCGCCCAGAGAATTTTGAACTCACAGATCTCGGAAGGACCCGGCCATTCGCAGATGATTGGAATTTCACCGGTTCGCGTCGCACCGAACGACCGCGACTCTGCCGACCGAGCGATCGCATGCTGGTGAGGAGAATTCTGTCAATATGTGAGTTAATTTCGAACATCGGTCGGCGCGCTGCTCCTTTGTTACAGAGAGATGATTGAAACACCTATTACCTATCTTACGAGGTACTCCAGACGATGACGTTAGCGCGCACGAAAACCGAGCAACGCCTTACGATTTCTGCCCGAAACGCTCGGCGATGTTGACCGTCTTGGGATCGACTTCGTCTCGAGCCATCGAACAATATATCTTCCTGTTAGGAGGGAGAGGGACACGGAAATGCTCAATTGTTCGGTAGGGCCGCGTTGCATCGCGTTGTTTTCCCACGATGAGGCTTCTCGCGGGATTCTCGGTGCTAACCGGTTTTTGCTTGTGCCTATGATAGAAAACCAGCATAATTGACAAACATTTGTATTTCAAGAATGAGGAATACCATACGTGGTTTGTAATCATGGGTTTTGAAAAAATAGCATGTGCACATTGGAGAGGCCCATGGAATAAGACCCAACATGGTGCCTGGCCACATCTGTACTCTGAATGCCTTGGTATAGTAGTACAGGTACACATTTATGGTAGGGTACATCCATCTTGAAAAAAATAAAGACATTGGCAAAAAGATGAAAGCTATCATGTTTTTCGCAATCAAATACCAGTGGGATCCCAAAAATCAGAGCAAAGACTTCACTGGGAAGGAGGAATAGCACTTACGAAATGCATATAAACAAGCACCTGAACTTTATTTCTTGAGATGTGCACCTGAGGTTTCAGCATGCAATCATCCAGAGGTCCCTACTTGTTCTGCTCATGAGAAAGAAGCCATTGCTTCACTGACTTCCCACCACTGAAATGACCAATCTGCCCATCGCTTTTGATCACCCGATGACACGGTACCATCAACAGTATCGGATTCTCACGCATGGCCGTCCCCACTGCTCGGCTTCCTCCTGCGTTTTAAGATGTACATCGCTGCACATTCATCATGCACCCAGCAACAGATTCATAAACCATTCAGATGGGCAGTGACTGACCAGGAGAGCCACAGAGAATCGCCAACTTTCCATATGATATAGTAGTCCCAAATGGTACTTCCCTGGCCAGGGTCTCCCATACAAGTGGATAGAAACCTATGGAATACAAATTAAAGTATTGGCTACATAGGTTCAAGAAGGGAGTCATCAGGATGCACAAACAGTTACCATCAATGCAATGCATGCAATTCTTGAGGCAATAATTATGACACTCCAATCAAAATATTTCCAAACTCTTCCATGATAAAATTTTCCAGATTGACTTAATCCCCAGAAAGCATTTCTTCTCAAAGCAAGTTGGGCAAGCCCAGTCCAGTAGTGGGCCTCCTTTCAACTAAGGAAACCCACATTCTCTCACCTAATTGTACAAAATGCCATCTCTTTCTGGTCTACAACCATCAAAAACCTCATTTCTCATTTATACTTGGTAAACATATACAAACGATGCCCATGAAACAATGATGGGAGGATGGAAGGCTGTGTGTGGTTGGATCCATCCCCCCCTGATGGTTGGTAGGGTACTGACAGCTCTAGTTGCTGATACAGCACTGCACCAAAAACCTGGATCATATGCACATTGTGGTCCAGAACCTGAAGGGCTCACTGGTACTCTTTGTGACAAAATTTCAGATCCAAAATTTGCAATAAAAATGTAAATTTTGGTTCAAATTCACAACAAAACAAACTCAGCCTGTATCTAGTTAATAATAATTCTGTTTGCCAATTTTCACATTGACCATGCCTATATTTTTTAATTATTATTATTTCAGGAAAGGAGGTCCACTAAAAAAACTCACCTTGAAGGGCACTTCCCTGACTAATGTTTCTCAAAAAGGAAAACTCTTAAGAGAAAATCTGCTCTCTGTTCCTAAATGGAACCAGGCTTTCCCATTATGTCCTTGAGGCATTGGCAAATCCAGAGACTCAAGGTTCCACCCCTCACCTCATCATTCAACTGTCTTAATGCTAAAACCTCACATAAGCTACTGCTCTGAGGCATTGAAAAAGTGCTATGAGATGCCTGAGGAACATGCAGAAAACCTTTTCCAGTTCACAGGAATCTTGGAGAGCAAAGCTTAAATGAGGTGAAGATGCAAAACTATACTGTTTCCAGATTGAATTCTTACAAATTTCCAGAGGTTTTGCTATACTGGATGGTATGTGCAAACATCCACGTGAATAATATCACTACCTAAAATCGATGGAGGTACTGATTAAATTTGTACCCCCCAATGGGGGGAGGAGTACAAATTTAATCTGAGAGCAATGTAAAGCCAAATGGACCCAAGAAGCATGACCTAGGTTCAGCAATTTGAGTACAACTGGAGAAAAAGACCATATTAATATCATAACATAGCACCTCTGAAAATTTTCAGCATTTCAATATTTTCTGCTTCTTCCAGGTCTGAAAAAAAAAACTGTAGCTTTGCCTCTTTCATTGGATATTGAAGAACTCTCTATAAGGTAAAGGCACCAGTTCATAGATGAGCGCTTCTTAGCAGACCATTAAGTGTTTTGTACCATACTAAAAACCAAATAGAGAAATTAATATCCTTGATTGCTTGATATTTTGTGAATGATTGTTGGGCAATGTAAAGCAGTCAAGGTAAGGTAAGAATTTCTGGCTTAGATTTTTCAGCATGGCACAAAACGCTTGATTGTCTGCTAACAGGCTCTCACCTATGAACTGGTGCCTTTACCTGACAATTTTTTTAGTGCAGCAGAAAATGCAAAATTGTCCACCAAAAGGTGCCCATCTATGTACTGGCTGGCACCTCTACCTTGCTAGTAAAATCATTTTCTTAAAGTTGGTTTTGATCTTACATTGATGTAATGTGAACATGCATCCTTGATATTCCATTCTAAGTTTCTGTAACTTTCAACTTGTGCCATCATATGCTCAAGTGAGTTGAAGGGCATAGGAGTTGTGCTAAAATGTCACAGAATCTATCTGCATCTTTATTGGTAGAATCAAATTTCAATATGTAATGCCAACCAGGTATTATAAGTTTTCCATAGTGTTACCTTTTGCATTCCCTCTGAGATTCCATTCCATCAATGTCACCTTCCCTTATGCCTCAATACATCATTTTTAGAAATGCCCTCATGACTATGAAATCCCTAGAATGAGACTACTATTTCTACTTATGCATTGGAAAGAAGTAGTAAGAAGGTGGAATGATTATTGAAATGATAGCATGACTACCAATGAATATTCAGACACTTTTACTGGCACCAAAGAAGAGATAAAGCAAATAGAATAAATGTAATTGGCAATAAGATCCGTATGCCCTGGATACTGCTTTTTTAGTATTAAAAACATTAAGCATGAATTCACTAGTTTTGTCTTATAGACAAAAATTAACAGAAAATGAACCACCAAAGAGAAGGCTAATTAAAAGATGAAGATGCAGGAATGCTTGAATTGGGCCCTGAAGAATCAGAACTGTGAAATTATATTAAATCATTACATATTAAATCAGCTTATCCAAAGAAAATAAATGTGAGAGATTGCAAGGCACATGACTATTTAATGTGATGACAATCTGGGACAGAGCTGCCAGAAATTCTCCACCTTTACATAAAACAATCAAAGCAACTGTGCATGCTGAAATCAAGAGAGATTGACAGAAGGGAAGAAGGGAAAATGAATAAAAATATGAATATGCTGAAAAAATATTGAATTCCCTGATTTAAATCAATAACTGTGAATCCCAGCAGGCACATTTTCTCTATCTCATTTTAATATTTACTTATCCTTCTTAAGGTTGTCAATTCCTTTACTACTGAGTTGTAACTTATCCATAATATTTAGGGCAAAAATGAAAAAAGAGAAGAAAACTTTGGGAGGAGGGAGTCAAGGAGGATGTCTGAATGATAGTATCAATTTTAAATTTACCTCATCATAATTCCTAATAGACAGATTCAAAAATCACATCTTTGAAGGCAAAAAGGATTCAAGCAGATATATCATTCACAGATGACAGAAATGTAATATTTTTAGTGGGCCTCTTTTCCAGAAAAGAAAGAGACTGCTTATGCTCCCATCCTGTTCGTCCGTGTGTCACACTTTGGTTGTTCGACAATAACTTTAAAAAATACTGGCCTGGTCAATGCAAAAATTGGCAAACAGGTAGATATAAACTAGATACAGGCTAAGTTGGCTTTGTGATGTATTTGAACCAAAATTGGCATTTTTATTGCAAATTTTGGATTTGAAATTTGGTCACAGAGAGGAAGGCATGAGTCTCCAGGGGCCCTTCAGGTTCTGGACTATAATGTGCATGTACATACAACCCAGGCTTTGAGTGTGGCACTGTCAGCAACAAGAGCTGTCAGTTCCCTACCAACCATCAGGGTGGATGGATCCAACCATGCACAGCCCTCCATTCTCCCACCATTTTTTCATGGGCATCGTTTGTCTATGTTTACCAAATATAAATGAAAAATGGGGTTTTTGATGGTCGAAGACCAGAAAGGGATGGCATTTTGTACAATTAGGTGAGAGAATGTAGGTTTCCTTAGCTGAAAGGAGGCCCACTACTGGATTGGGGTTGCCCAACTTGTTTTTAAATGAATCCTATTATAACCACATTTCTTATATTGCATGATTACTTGAGATGACTCCAATCCAAACCCTCTGGACATCAGCCTTTCAGTTTTATTGAAAAAAATAAAGCAAAACAGCAAAGGGAATGATTTGATGATAGGATTCAGAGACTAGAATACAGTCAGCTTGTAGTTCAAAAACAGCACCTTTTCCACTTTCTAACACCACAATTTCTCAGGATCAACTTATACTCCCAGTTACACATGCTCCATGCATTTCAATGGGATGCTTTCTTGACACTGTTGATAATAGAGCCATGGTAGGAGGGTAAAAGTCAATCTGAAAACATGAGTCAGGTTTACATGTGCATGATGAAATAAAATAAACAACAACATTACCAGAAGCTCTGTTTCCAAAACAAAGTGAGGGCTTCTCAGCTAGACTCCTTGAGCTTGGCTGCCCAAAAAAGGCTTTCAGCCAATCAAGACAAGACAACACATGTGAGTGTACTTCTGATGATCCTTCAGCTTGCTTCACTGACACTTTGGTCCTTCATGGGAAGAGAAAAAAATACCACCATAAAATAAAAACTACAAAAGGGCAAGTTATTTTTCTTCATGTGAAGTAACTGAGAACAACTATGAGATACTGATACATGTTACCAGATAAAGCAAGCAAACCATATATCAGGTGAGAAGTCAGAATCATCCTTGGATAGTCGATGAAGAGTGTGAATCCCACTGGGGCAGAACTTCATCTCTAGGTCTCCCATAGGAGTACTGAAACACACCCTTGAGACAGTCCCATTCTTGCATTGGGATGCTTTCTCAAACTTGACTTTGTTATTGTGCTCTTTAGGCATCATCCAGACAACCCCTTGGGTCAGTGCCAACCTGTTTGTGCAATACCCACATATACAAGAATACTGATTTATATTTTGATTTGCTCCATTCCCAAACAGCCTGAAGGGAAACAGAGATATAGAGAGAGAAAGCAAGGTGGGAGGCCAAAAAATTGTCACCATTTGCCTTGCTGAAGGCACATAATGAGAATAAACCAGTCACTGCAAATACCATACCAGGCCAAGACAGTTCCCAAACATGCCAGGACATGTACTCATAAATAAACACCTGACTTGGCTGATATAGAACCCAGAAAAAGTAGGCCTAGCTTGCTACCAACAAGCCAATCACCTGCCCTGAACCTTTTACAAACTTATAGCTCTCTCCTTCTGGTGATCCATAGTCTGCCTTGGGAGATTTGGCAAGGTGCACAGTGCAGAAATGATACTGAGCAACACTAGAAAATGAGGCTAAAATTTAGGCCAAAGGTTTATTACATGATATGACAGGGGGGGACAAATTAAGAGAGAGAGTAACTGGAAAGCAGACATGTGTAAGCAGATACTAGATAGTTAAGATTGAGGCACTTATAAAAAATACTCTAATTGTTTTCAGTCATCAACACCACTCAAAATTTGTAAAGACTGTTGACAAGCCCTCAGTAACCTCCAATCTGACTCAACAAATTTCCTGGGTACGTATGTCATTGCCACCTCACCCTAAGAGACCACATTGACTCAGTTTGCAATAGTGCTAAGGCAGGCATTTCAGCCATTAGAAATCTGTCCCAATATCTATCCATTCCTGACCTAAATATATACTATGCTCTGATTGAATCATATATGGGATGGGGGTCTGAGGCTTTGCACCACACTAACTACTGATCAGAATTTTGCTAATTCAAAAATTAGCTTCTCAAGCAATTTCTGGCAGTAACAAATTGAGTTCATGGCATGATCTCTTCATACATGGTAGAGTACTTTCAGTCTTTTCTATCATTTTCAAGGAAACATGCCTGGTCATTAACAAAACAAAATTGAATGGGTCATTACAAACTATGGGTGAAAGACATCAATACTATGCGAGGTACAATAGTGCTATAGCTACTGAGAGAATGAGCACCAGCAGTGGCATATTTTGGCTGAAAAGTCAGGGGGGCCCCAAACCCCACCCGAGCGACATCATGGAAGAAAATTATTGTCTTCAAGGGGGCGCCAGTGGGTCAATCACCCCCCCCCCCTCCTCCTGTAAAATACACCAATGAGCAGGGCCGGATTAAGAAGTTACGAGGCCCGGGGCAAGTGAATTCTTGCCCCCCCCCCCCCCCCCCCCCCCCCCCNNNNGCCCCGGGGCAAGTGAATTCTCCCCCCCCCCCCCCCCCCAGCTACTTTACGCAAATACAATACTTTTTTTTAACTTAATGTTTTTAATTTCCTTCGGGGGCCCCCTGGAAGAGTAGGGTCCGGGGCAACTGCCCCCTTTGCCCCCCCCTTAATCCGGCCCTGCCAATGAGCATCAATTTCAGAGTCACTTCAAGCATGATGGAGTGATACTCTATAACAGCTTACCTAAAACTCCAACCAACCGAAATCCTGTGTCTCAAGTCCAGACTGCGATCGATCCTACACTGTTTCCGGATTCAATTCGTACCACTCCCCTGTAGAGGAGAATGGAGAAAACACATCTTTCCAGAGCGTCTGCTTCATTAGGTAATAGACATAACCAACTATGTGTAAGAAGTCACTACCTGCAATCGATGAAAGTGCTTCTAATGGGGGGGGGGGGGTTACGAATAAAATCCGGAATCAGTGTAATTCTTCAAACCTCCCCCAACCCTATTCCCTTTTATGCTAGAATAAAATGTACAAATTTTATTACATGTATCATGTCGTGACGACTCTATAAGCTCTGACTGATTGAGGAATACAAATGATATGATGAAATCCCATCACCTGTGTTTCATGTTCGCGGGGGTAGCGCCATGGACGGAATGACATCATTAAAGAAACCACCAATCCTGTGCTGCCTTGTTTAGGACAAGCGCATGGCGTCCGCCTGTACTGCTAACGTCGTCGCTTGTGCCATGTTCACGCCCCATTGCGGCGCTTTCTCTTTAGCTAAAGTACAAGTTGCATTGTGCACTCGCCCTCCATACCGATGACGACGTGGCGAAATCACGCAAAATGCTTTTGCGGAGATCTCTCGCTCAATGTAATAAGGAGGGCTACGAGTCCCATGCCACAAACGCCGTTTCGCTTTTCTTGGTGTTTTCCTGTGGGCTTTTGTCATCATTGGTGTTGGTGTCCCTCTTCGGAGGCAACTTTCTCCCTACTAAAGAACAGTTAACTGCTCGTCTTGATCATTCCTTCGAGTCAGTTCCTCATTTTGATGAGGCACTAGTGCAAGTTGTCACAGAGAGTTATCCATATGAATATCAAGAACGAAGTAGGAAGACTGGTGATGAGGTGATTAACAGAAGTCAAAATAGAGCACTCCAGACTCCATTTCATTTAGGATTCAACTTAGAATTGGATGATGAACCAATTGACAGTGAGAAGAAGCAGAGATTCTCTTCAGTCCCTACAACAGAACTCATACGGCTGGAAAAACATAAAAGCAGCAAAGTTTCAACAGGTTGGTTTTTATATATTTTTTGCTCCTATTCATCAAAATGCAAAAGCAGACTAGGCCTTCGTGGTGACATGGATTGAATAGTCACATTGTCAATGCCATGAGAAATAACAAGTGGAGAGGCAGTAAAATAATTGGGAAAATGAGCATAAGTATGAGTTTAGTGACTGGTGAATCAGATTTTTCTGCAATGATGTTGAAGCCTACTTCTGCAATTGTATCTGTTGTCCCCACCTAACCTCAACCGTCAATCTTGTCTTATTTCAGAGAACAAGGCTGAAGCACAGGCATCTCTCCATGCAGCCTTGGACATGTGGGAACGACGGAAACTGGAAAAGGCCATGAAGCTTTTCCAGCATGCAATGCTTCTTGATCCAAAAGAACCCGACATCCTCACTCGTTATGGTGAATTCTTGGAAGAGTATGAGTATGACATTATAGGAGCTGATCACCTATATGCCAAAGCCCTTCACTCAAGTCCTTCTCATAGCAAGGCTTTGCAAAATAGGGAACGGACATTACCACTAGTGGATGAATTGGACAAGTCCCGCCTCCTCAAATTAGATAGACTTCGTGATGAGTTGATGAGAATATCTGATGCCAACCATGCTCTGAGACGAATCAAGAAAGAAGCATACTTCCATTACATCTATCATACTGCTGGCATTGAGGGAAACACAATGACCCTAGCACAAACACGGAGTATTCTGGAAACTAGAATGGCTGTGCCTGGGAAGAGTATCCTTGAACATAATGAGATTCTGGGCTTGGATGCTGCCTTGAAATTTATAAACCAAACTCTTCTTCACCGAATTGGACAGGTGACCCTACATGACATCCTTCAGATCCACCAGAAAGTGATGGGCTATGCAGACCCTGACCAGTGTGGACAGATTAGAACAACACAGGTTTATGTGGGCTCTCACATTCCTCCTGCAGCATATGAAGTGCGAGAGATGCTACAGGACATGGTGGACTGGTTGAATTCTGAGGATGCCTTGAGGCTGCATCCAGTGGAGTATGCATCTCTTGCACACTACAAGTTGGTCTACATTCATCCCTTCTATGATGGGAATGGCCGTACAGCAAGACTGCTCATGAATTGGTTTCTGATGCAGTCAGGCTATCCACCTGTGATGATTCGGAAGCAGGAGCGCATGCGTTACTATGAGACGTTGGAAAATGCAAACGAGGGAGATGTGCGCCCATTCATTCGCTTCATTGCTGAATGTACAGAACAGACATTGAATGTTTACCTATGGGCAACTCGAGAAGCATCAGGGGAAATCCTTGGGTCAGCCTTGGAAAAAGACAATGGACGGACCATTATAATGGGAGGATAGAAAATGCTTAATAATCCTGTGATACAATAGGACAGAAATATTTATTTTCTTGAATGTGTCAGTGTGTTTCAGGGCAGGTGATGGAGAAATTAGAACAACTGCAGGGTAGTTGTGAAAGATGGAGTCTTTTAAAAGTCTTCTTTCAGAAGAAGATCCACAATCCCAGTGTCTCTTAATTAGAGATAATGTTAGGGAATTTTTCTTGTTTTGTTGCTCTCTTCTCTTTTTTCTGAAGCCTTCAGGGAAGACAAAGATCCTGAATAGACCTCCAAGCTAATGTATTGAATATTGTTAATCTGTTCAAAAGGTGATATAAGGTATTCATGCAGATGTGAAACTCTGGTTATGGTGAAACATGGGATCTATCTGTGGTTCGGGATTTGAGGAGGCTGCATGCCTGAGCTTCCTTAATGTTGCAAAATTCATGTTCAGCATTCTTCCCAAGTTTTGGTAGACCTACTTGAGGAGTTGCCTTAGGTCTATTGCATTTTGCTCTGAGTATAAAGTCACTTCAATTTGAGGATTTCAGACTAAGAACTTCAGGATGACAGCATCTAGAGTGAAAGCCTCATGTAATGCAATGAGTCGGTATTTCAATTCATCTTGGAAGGTTATGTCACTTAGGAGTTGTTGAGAATATTTCTTTTTATTTTTTCATAAGTATTATGGTGCACAGAAGAGTTTTCAGTATTCAGATCTGAAGAATCTCAGAAAGGAAAGCCAATTTCATAAACCTAAAGAAGATACCAGGTTTCTCTACCTAAGGATGGCATAGCTCAGCTTGTGGGAGCAGGTAGTCCCTCATCTCCCACAAATCTATGTACAATAAATATAGTCCCTTTAGAAGAGGATTCAAAAGATTAGTTACCTTCTGAAATATTTTCCTTCTGCTGCAGCTGGTACTGTGCAGTGTATTCTTTCAGGAAGTTTCTTTAATACAAGTCAACCATTATTGTAGACATGATTCTGTCACACCAAAGCTCCCTGTGATACTTCATGTCACTATGTTTCAGCTAATAAAAATGCTTGGATCTTTATCTTGCAAAAGCTAGTCTTCCATCCTTTGCAAATTCATATTGATGTTGATGTTAGAGTTTTAATCTGATGCATGCATCTGTTATCATTCTTGATATGTATAGACCAGATGGCTAGCCAAGAATGGGATACCTAGTCAATTTTTTAACCCTACCTAAGAAGGTATACCTCAATGTACAAGAAGATCATGCCAAAAAAAAATCCTGACAGATTAGGAGTCACTCAGAAAAAAAGGGAGGTTTGCTTGGGGGATGATACATGAATGTTATGGATTTTCCTCTGTTTTTACAGGAGCATCCTCATTATCCAGGGGTAAGCTACACCTGAGAGTGGAAAGTTTGCATGCTTCCAGGTTTTGTCATCCTAATCCCAAGTACCTGTTAACATAGTGAACACAAAGGTGGTACACTTCTTCTGTACAATTCAATTGGTATTGGGATGAAAGCTAAGGAAATGGGGCAAAAGCAACAATATATCTGACTCATAATTACCAATTTTTATTTTTTTTTTCCAGGACTCAGCAAGAAATCAGTTACACATTACAAAACCACCCAAGTTTGGACACTCTTAACATTTATTGTTAATAAATATGCATTTGTGAGAATGACATTAGGGACAGTTCTTAACCCAAGATGACCATGTTACTAAGCAAAAAACTTGCAGTGGACATGATCATTGAGCATGATTTTGAAATATTGGCAGAAGTGAATGTCATGTTGCAGACAGGAGAAATTCAATAAATGTATGGAGACAACCTTACTTGAAACACACTTCCTATGTGGTATTGTTAATTCTGTAATCAATTCTTATTCCACCGGAAACTAGGAAATGTGCAGCACTGCTACAAAGAATATGCATGCCATGAGCAGATTTCCACCTTACTTCTGGTGTGTCCTAACTACGTTGTGTTCTAAATTCATTTTTTTGCACAGGTTCGGACATCCACGTAATAAGTGGAAGTTCTGTTGACCTGGGCAAACCCAGCTCAACAGAAGTGGAAGGGGTTGAGAATTTTGCTTCTATGAAATTCATATCATTCAGGTTTTTCTGTTCTAAAGAGTAATTTCCTGAATTTGATTTATTTACTTTTTGGCATAACACTCATGGAAGAAGTCCCCAGTCAGGGAGAGGAAAAACTTCTCTAATACTCATTTTGCAAATAATGGTCCAACTTGAGCTGCTACCAAAATCAAAGGGGATGGCTAAAAAAAGTTGATACATTTATACAATTCCAGAAAGGAGGAGGAAGCTTGCTATTCCAAATAGCGAGTTTTTATCTTTATGGGAATCAGTGCATTCAGTATCACCAAGGTGAAGCTCAGACTGGATAGGGACAAAAGGTTTTTTTTTATATTAACAAGAGTACAGGAATAGGCTTAATGTGAAGCTTGCATTTCCACCTGTTATGATTGCCCCCTTTTGCCTCCAGTGCATGACTTAATGCTATTCTCTCCCCCAGAAAGAGCAGGAAGATCTCATCTCATTCTCATTTTTTTTACTTCCTCCTGTTCCTCAGTGTGGACATGGAAAGCCCTTCCTATATGCCAAGAGCAGCAACTCCCAAGTTATTCAATACCATGGTTGAAATATAGAGGAAAAAATAGGATGGTCTCTGTGAGAGCAGTCATATGGATTTTTAGAGAGATAGATAGAATAACGCCCTCATACAATTGACACAAAGTTGGAGGTGGGACGGCACTGCTTTCTGAAGATTGTCACAAAAATATTTAAATCCTCGATGATTTCATAGATATGCTTTAGAAAATTTTGTCCTCCTTTCATTCAAATTCTTTATCCAAAAAAGACAGGCTACAAGGTGAAGGCATGAATTTTATTCCAAACTCAGATGCTTACAGACATGCACAGCAATTGCATAGGCCTACCTGAACTCATGCAGGAAGGATACCAGATACACTACTGCCATTCTCTTCCCTTCCTTTTGTGCCAGTTTGGGCTTGGAAGCAAACTTTAATTTTAGACCAAAAGTAAAAGCAGAAAAAAGTGTCAAATCAAGTGTCCTTCCTGCAGAATTCCTTTTTTTTATATCACAACTCTTGTCAATCCATAAGAAAATCATAAGTTAGACTGCCTGCAAAAAAAAAAACAAGAGCATCATTTTCATATCAGCAATCATTACTATTCAACATTATCTATCCTGATTCAGTCACAGTCTTAAGAATGAATGAATCAGGCTAAATACATGAATAGATCATGATGAAATGAGGTGTGCCACCATCTCTCTTCACTGACCCTCAGAAAGAGATTAAGTAAAACATCACTCAATTAAAAAAGAGCAAAAAATATCACAAATATGAGGAGGAAAATGTGATGCAAGAGGACAAAATCAGTCTTCTCCTCATTTCCGATTCACACTCCTGCTGAGTTTCTCTTCCTCAGCCAGCTTGTCTCGGAGAGAAGATATTTTCATCTTGAATCTCTGACCCTTCTCCATGATTTCAGCAACAAGGTCCTCCATTTGCTGTGCATATGCTGCAATGGAATACACAGTTTTAACATGTCTTCAACTGCTTCAATAGCTAATATTATAGTGAAGGGACTCACCATCTACATCATAGCCAACTTCATTGCTCATCTGGAGGAGAGCAGAATTCATGTTCATCCACTTCTTCATATTATCATCAAAGAGTTTATGTTCATCCAAGACTTCATCTTCTAGCTCTGTGATTTGGTTGAAAGCCTCTTGAAGGTTGAAGAAGTCATCACCATAGTCTTCCTCCTGTGGAGAGACAAGATACTCAATTTTAAAAGTTTATCACTTAAAAAAAAAAAAAAAAAAGTCCTACATTGAGAGAGCGCAGCTGAGCCATGTCATCATCTTCTTCCATCACCTCTTCCTCCTTGATAGTTCTGATGTCACTCTTCATTCCTGTTGGGTCTTGAGCACCCAGTTCCTTCACACGATCCGCATAACGAAGAGTGTTCAAGCTGTGCTCACATGAATTCATACCAGGACTGATCATGGCAATCTGGAAAATCACACAAAGGAGCACTCAAGAGGAGGAACTTGTGTGTTGCATGCTCTCCTGACAATTAAAAATTTCAAATGGAAAAACCTTTCTTCCCTTCATTCCCAGGCAACCAACAATATCTCAAGTTCTCAAGATTTTACTTGTGGTAAGAAGGATGCAGTCAGTTACTCACAAGTTTAGTAATGATTATGGCAATGACCCATCATACCCTATGCTGCCCCATTTTAAAATACAACTTTATTGCACAAAACTTGCAGGTTGAGAACTTTGAAAGAGTGATGATGCTCAGGTGATGAGAGTCTTTACAAACAGCACCTTTCATTGCTTCAGAAAAATAAAATTTATCAAGTTGCAGGCCCACAAAAAAAGTGACCCAAGGTGCCCACCCTCCTCTACCCAAGTCAAATTTATATAAACAGACATTGGTAGAAGTCTGGATAGGTGACTTCACGTCTGTTTTCCTCACACACTTAGCAGGCCCTCTTATCACACATAAATGGCTCTCCTATCTGGTAGAATTCTCTCAATGTTAACATGGTCATTCTCAGAAACCAGATTCCATCAAGTTCTCAAATACTTTCTCAGGACTAAAAGAGAATAAGGAAAAGGGAGTTTCAGTTTCCTACTTTTTCTTGCTTACCCTATGAATTCCTATTCTTCAAAACTCAACTGACTGGTTATTATACTGCTTAAGTAATCAGAATAGCTGCTCTCTCACCATGCATGTCCTTGACTTCTCGCCAATGAAAGAGTCCCTCAGAACTTGAGTGAGCTTGGAGGCACGGAATGGCAAGTGTGCACCTTTCCTCCCAAGGGCACGAATACACTCTTTCAAGGCCAGTAGGGACTTGTTTATCTCAGCACCCTCCATTCCTGGACAACAACAGACACATTGGAAAGTGACACCATAAAACCTCATGAACATAAGTCCAAGTTGACTCACGAGTGTTCCTGTTGGATGAATGCGTGTCGGCACCTCTTTCATTTCCTGCCAGATCTATTAATGAGAACTTGCCATGGAGTCGATGAGTAGAACCATAACGTAAAATGATCTGGAACACTGCATGCGACCTTGATGAGTGCTGATTGGCTGATGTTTGACCTGATGTCCTGCAGATGGATAAAAAACCACACTCATTTTTCAGCAGAAAATAGGGATTTCAGAGCTCAAACAGCAAGAATGTGTACCATAGAATTAGGCCTGAAGTTTCTTAGCTATGCACATGCATATACAGGGTTCACATTAACTTGCTATAGAGAGTCCCTGACTCATATTTGCAAAACACCTAAGTTTGTGAGACTCAAACAACCACCTGAACATGTTCCCACTGAGCTGAAGCTAGGTGCCAGGACTCAAGATTTAAAAAAACTAGTGTGAACCCTGATATATACGGTGTTAAAAAAAAAAAAGGCATGAAGAGAAAGGGCAAATAAATGCTAATAAATGTTATAAATGCAGCATCTTCCAAAAATATGAAGTCTCCCTAGCAGAGTCCACACAAGACATAATCCCCTCCAGGAAAAGAATGGTCATTTCCTCCATAGAAAATCTTGGAGTTTTTTTAATACACCCTAAATATTGAATGTATCCTCACCTGGCTGCATTGCCCACTTGAATGAGCTTGAGAACATCTTCCACACCCTCAACATGCCTCTCTGTGAGCCCAACAACTTGAACCTGTTGCTTCCCATCTTCGAGAACACGAAGCTTGGCTTTACTGTTTAGCAGATCAAAAACCTGGAAATACAATGCAATTTAAATAATGAAGTGGCAGGTAAACCAAGAAAACATCCATATTGACTAATTCCCAAAAAATGCAAGGCATTTGACCATGTATGTAATGATCCATTTTACAAGGCTATGATTCAAAAAGATTATTGTACAACATACCTTCCCACTATAGATTTCAAAGAAACTGCAGGAAACAGTAAGATGTAAAGATTTGTAGCGAGGTGACTTCTGCAGTCTGAAAACATCCTTGGTGGCCATGGCATAAATACCCTTGGTGCTGTCTTGGTTCTTGCCCACAAAATCACCACCCATAGTATGGGTCTTCCCACTTCCTGTCTGACCATAGGCAAAACAAGTTGCCATCCCCCCCTCAAAAATAGTCTCAACGAGGGGCATTGCAGTAAACCTACAGGCAGAATGATGCTTATGAGGCAAGGGAAACTCACAACAATAAAGTAAGCCAAAATAAAGACCTACTTATAGACCAGCAGGTTGTTTGCACTCTCATCAAAGGCATAATCAAAGCGGAAAATCTGATTTTCCAGGTATTTCGTGAGGTCCACTTTGGTTTTCGGCTCATGGACAATGATTTGATCTCTTGAGGGGACAGTTATTACATCCACCTCCTTTCTCTGATTCTCTTTGTGAGGGAAAAAAATAAAAAAGTTGCACATCAGCAAATAATCCACATGAAGACCATGTTCAGCAGGAAAATTCATTGCTTATTCACCCTTCTTATTCAGAGGTCTCTTCCTGACACATACAGTTATCTGATGATCCTCAATCGGATCTCCATCCTGCAAAGGGCGCATCTCAAAGCTCATGCGATATTCTCTGCAATAAAACAGACCACATTCAATTATTGATAGGGCCACAAAACAAGAAGCTCTGGAAGTTCTTGAATAAATGGCATACCGTATCATGGCAAGGAATTCCCAATTTGGGTTCCCAGGGTCCAAGTTCATGAGTTCTTCTCTCTGAACCTTCTGCTCAGCCTGTTTTGCCCTTCGTTCTTCCCGTTTCTTTTGGAGCTTTTCGACCTCTTTCACTACGTTGCTTCGTCGCCGTGCTATGATCATTATAAGAAGAAAAATTAATTCATGTCAATCTAGTAGTCATTGTAAGATCATAAGTCCATGAGCTCAAAAGATTTTTTAGGAGAAATCAGCATTTCACTAAAGCTGACTCCTATGAGAGACAGCAGCAAATTTTTCTACACCTCCATCTTCTTATAAAAGAAAAAAAAGCCATGATAGATGTTTGAATGTGAAACTAGCACCCAGCTTTATGTGTAGATGGCAATCCAAATGACAAAAACCAGCCTCTCTGCTTCATTTTTTGCTTATAAATTTATAAATCTTACTCCAAAGGACCCAAAATTAGCATTAGCAAAAGCAAACTTGATGAATATGCTACTGGAAATTTAAACCATGGAGAAGCAGTAACCCTACTTGTGGGAGGAGCAAGGGAGGAAGCCTTTGTGATGGTTCCCTTGGATTCTGCCCCATTCACTATGGGTGTAACAGAATTCATCATGGTAGTTGCCATAGGTTCTGGATGTCCATTTGTCGTAGGATGTGGAGCTATTGTGGGTCCTTGACCTGTCCTACGACCCCTCCCTTGAACATTAAAAATCACAGCATGCTAGGAAGATGGCAGCAACAGAACAAAAATGCAAAAAAATATTAAATAAGCACAAAAAACACAGAACGTACCTTTCACTGCCTTTGGAATTGCACCTTGGTAACCCTAGAAAAAAAAACCCAATGAATGATGCTCTTTTGTGTCTACAGAGAGGACATAATAATCCTTTGACAATTCCTTTATATTTTGAACTCAGTTATACTTACAGTTCGTTGCAGCTTATTTGGATGTGGAAGGGTCTGAGGCTCAGGAGCAAGAATCTGAGGGTTGAGTTCAATGAGGGCCTCAAATTCAATCTGTGAAAGGAATTGATATCACAATGTGAAACTATGACAAGAATATCCCATAAATTAAATAGCTGAGCTAAATCACATATTTAAACAGACCTCTTTGCCCTTGGTTTCCCCCTTCTCAAACCACTCCACAGTAACACTGCCAACATCCATATTAATGCTTGACACAACTGCAGAGTGAATTCTCCCTGGAATCAAGATCAGAAAAGCAATACTGACCTGTGTCATGGAAATATTATTAATAATGAAGTACCAGGGTGTGAGAAAAAAAAAAGATCAAGGTGCATGGGAAGCTCTATTTTTCTTCATCCATGAAGACTGGATGAACACAGGATGGGAAAAGCATATATAATGGGTCCTTTGGTCCAGCAGGTTTCTCCACAGGTAGAGATAAAAATGTAAATTAGCCTATAGAAAATTGTAAAAACAAAAATTATTGGAAATGATGACTTTATGGCTCTTCAGTTTTCACTTCCTAGCTATGAGCAGAAGACACCTGGCATTTGGCAAGCTAGCATGAATTGTTAAAAAAAAGTAAGAATTTAGGATTACAACACCTCAAACCAACACCCACAATATGAAGCTGAGTAAAGTGTCATGCCAAATAGAAAAGGGTATAAGGGTATATATACCTGTACAGATATAAATATCATACAAGATATGAGCTCAGTTACATGGTATAATACTGGATTTATCATGACGCAATTTTCCCAGGAACTGATGGCTTGGAAGAATATAGGCCATTTATAATTTAAAAAATATATAGACTAAGCAATAGTATGTAACGCTTCCAATGTTTTATAAAACCATTTTATGCAAACTCAGAAGGAAAAAAAAACAGTACTTTTCTAATATGAAAGCACGATTCTCAGAAATGGCATTGGTACAATTTTCCTCCCCATGGTTATATACTCCACGTTGAAGACAAGAACTCGCCCAATATTTGTACAGTACAGCACGCAGTACAACCTGTCAGAGAAGATCAGACAGTATTAAATTTGGATTAGAACTGTATCCACACCGTTTGGTGAAAACCAAGCAGAGACAGAGGGAGGTTTCGCTTGCTTTGAGGGGTATATTTCCCATCTCCTTTCTCCGGCGCCGTACCGGTGATTCCTCATAGTCCCATTCTACTGCTCTCCAAAAACTTGATTGCTTTCCCTCAAAATGTTAAAGATGATACGAACGTCGTTGAGAGAGATTGAAACCAAGAAAATATAATATATTCAGGTGTGGCATGATACCTTCTTGTTCTTTTTGACACGAGATGCTACGTGGGAATTCAAATGCCAGGTGAAATTCGGAGGGGGAATCCTTGAATGCCAATGCCAGTGAAGGACATAATCCGTCTAAGTCATTACGGTCGAGAACAAAGCCCCACTAGCATATTTTTCAGGCGGATACTGGAGAAGTGATTCCATGCCATCATGCGCAGAGGCGGAGGTCAACTGGCTCGTTCATGGTCATTTGGAATATGGAAGGAAAATATATTTCGCGAATCGCAGATGTGCAAAATACTCCTGAGGGTCGATCGCATCATATCGATGAAGGGAGGCGAGATCATGGAGGGCGGAATACGTCATCATCTGATGGGGTGGGGGAAGGCAAGGGGAAGGGGAAGGCTGGCCGCCTCCTCACCATGGCTATAAAAGGCCATGAACCTTCAACGGCAAGGCAATGCCGATGAGCGCCTCTGACTCATGCCCTCCTCCTCTTTTCTCTTTTTTTGCCCCCTTCCCCCTTACTTTTTTATATTATAATTTTGCGTGAACCTGCTTCAATGTGTAGCAAATCCTTGCCAACGATGCGAGAGATGGAATGGTACGGAGAAGAGAGCCGTGAAGAGGAGAAACGGTTGGGGTGTGACGCAACTGACCATTCTCTCACTATCTCCATCTCTCAGACTGACCCTGGCTTGTCTCGTCTTTTTCGCTTCCGGATCCCACGGGATAAAGGCAGACAGCACGGAAAAAAAAAGGGAAAAAAAAAGTCTGACACGCCCGGCTTGAGATCGACCCACGAACGAAACTCATCTTCCCCATCTAGCGGATTCCGCCCAACGCGTTCGTTTGGAAAAAAAAAAAAGAGCAATGCCACGTTATCCTGGACCGCGTATGATATGATGAACGATGCTCGGGTGAAGGGGAAGGAATGTGGTCAGGCCAGGACGTTGCCTCTTGGAAATAGCACGTGTTGCCCATATGATTCCATTCACCCTGATCGAGTGATGAAAACTAGGGAACCGCAGTGCGTGAAACGAGCTAATGTACCCCTGCCAAGTCCGGGATACTCCTCGTTTCCTCCTTACAGCTTTTATTACTCCGCCTAATATAAACCTTCATGAATCACATAGCCAGAAGGAATGAGGTAAAGAAGGGCGGCCACGGCCAGACTCACCATCTGTCCGACGGATATCCACCTGGCACCCACTGTAGAGGCCATTGGGGCCAGACTCCGTGAAGAGGATATTACAGTTCGATGCCATCACGATCACAGTCTCGCTCACCGACACCCAATTTCACGGTTCACACTCAAACGCGGTCGGAGAGTCACCTAGGAGGAACCGACGTCACGCAAATGAAGTAAAGGATTTCCCATCACGTTGCCACTGCTGCTTGGATGTATGACCGACACTTCATGACTACTGGACGAGGTCACAACTCGAGAAATCGTAGATCTAATACTGTAGGCCTACGCCAATACAGCCGGGGTGGAGATCACACCAAGCTGGCCGACGGGGGAGGAGCAAGGACATACTCCCTTCCGGTCACTACTGTTTACAGACAGACACACACACCAAAAGGGGAGCATTATGGGCTAGACACTAGTGAAGTAATGAGTAATAACGCTCTCGCATGCGTTTGCGTTTCGGCGGGTACGACTCTCAACGCCATCTATTGTTGTTTGTACTCCCTGTGTTCAAGCACCAACGGAAGATATTGAAGGAATCCTCTGGACAGGTGGTGTACAGAATAGGGGCCCAAAATAAAAAGGAAAGGAATATAAAAGTATAAGCCGGCCTAAAAGGGCTAGTGTAAGACAGCCGGAGTGCTTGCTCCCGAAGATTCCTCGGACAGGCTCGTGTTAAGCTGACTTCGCCTTAAACCCTTTGTGAAGATAAGGGAACTGCACGTTCCAAAGATACTATCATGACGCTTTGAAGCCGATTTCGTATGGAAATGAACACTAAATCGGGGTTGAGAGTGGAATGAGAGAAATCAAGAACCAGTCCCCCGCCCCCTTCTCTAATGTCTTCAATTCAACACATGACCAAATCTTCCGACTGGACTTCCTTTCTTTCTTTTTTTTTTTGGAGGAGGAAGGAGGGGGGGGGGAACATACCCTAATTAACTGGGTCTCACCTTCGTGTTAGGCGTATCACCTTCCCATGACTGATTCTCTGGCACAGATTTTTTGCTCACGTACAAAGGTTGTTCAAATAAAACTTGGAATGAGACCTTCCAACCAACACAAAATGCAAGATACATCGGCTTTGCGAAGAATCAGGAACATATCCATTGTCGGCTACACCATGGGCAAGATTGGACGCCGTGCCGCGCACAGTGCAGGCGCCAAAGGCACATGATGCGGCGCGTTTTCAGACTACATGCAATGAACACAAGTAAGGGCGTGCTGTTGAGTCTTGCATCACATTTACGCCTAAATAATAATTTCGTGTGTCATTCGAATTGTTTTTTAAGTTCTACGCAAAATTTCAAAGCACATCTTGCTGGCGTTGTTCCTTCGTATTGCAAGTTGAGTGGGGACTGAAAACACGCTGCAGCATGCACGAAGACCACCAACACCTAAAATGCTCGGTTGACACTACAGTCTGAGATGCTGAGGATCCCGATTCTTTGCAAAGCCAGGGCATCTCATATGGCTAGAATATTTCAGTCGAATCACTTGAGTAGGTCTAGCACAGGCTGCAGAACATGTGTGGTAATAAAACAAATTTAACCATACCTTGATTTCCTGTTTCCTAGCACTATGTGGCAGAAAAACCATCACCCTAAATGCTATAGTCTGGCCCCCAACAGGATCATCACGATTGTGTGAGTAGCTCATGCAGTTACTAATGAGTCAGTTGAGATAGTACAAGTGTTACATGCAGTAGAAAAAGCTACCTTCATGCACAGTAATAAAAAAATAATGAAAAAAACTGACTGTACAATAGACAAATAACCATATGTTCAACCAGTCATGCCCTTGATACCTGCTTAAAAAACTCCATATTCTACCTAACCAAATCAATTCCATTCCTAAAAAGGAATTGATTTGGAATATTACAAATAGGTCAAACTTGATCTGGAATGCTATCAAATCCAGTAGGCAAACTGCCTCAGGATGCAACAGTCACAATGAAGAAGTGGTCTTAGAACTCTCACAAGTTTATCTATGGCTCTGAAAAGGATAGTATGATTGGGTCTTTCATGGCCATCAAATCTGATGGATATTTGATGTGGCAATGAAAGGTTCAATCAAAACAGTGTGGAAGGCAATTTTAAACCAACACCATATCCTAGATTCAAGGCAGCTGAAAAATTTAAATTTTCCTTTGATATCAACAAAATAGGACTTAGGAGAAACTGTCCACAGAATCTACTTTAGCTTCATAGCCCACTATACCTCATGGAAACATATTTCTTGGCATGGAAAGAGGGATTAGAGACCAACCTACTTCACCTGCTCCTAACAAATTAACTCCACTCCCAGTTCAACTTGGCCTGGAACTTGGATCTGCTGATATCCACAAGTTTCCATCCACTCCCAATGCATCCAGTTCAATCGCTTTGATGAACAGTACTGCTACGCCTCAGATAAGATCATCAAGCAAGGTTTCCATTTATGTAGTTCAAGAATTTCCAACATTGCCCCAAAGGCCATTCTGCAACACATTTCAACATTTTCCACTAATAACAAAAAAAAAGCAATCAGTGTCCATTCAGAAAGTTACAGATATCTCACAAAGCCTAAGAGAGGTAAAGGACTTATAGAGAGAAAAAATTAAAGGGGAGGAAGTGAAACAAAGGAGGCAAATATGAACACATGGCTCAAGAAACTACCAAGGATAATTATCCACTTATCTTGATTGAATGCAATTAACTTTCAGGAAATATGATCAATAGATTTCAAACAATTTTTTTGCAACACAGATGAAAAAATGCAACTGCATGGTTCATACTTTTCTCACACATACTATGATAAACGTCCATTGAGCATTTTAATCAGAAAGGTCAAGTAGAAGCTAATAGTGATTGCCATGGCAGAATAGGGCACATTCAGTATTGCTGTTGAATTATGGGCAATTTAAAGCAAAATCATAGTTATTGCTAAGCAGTTAAAACCCTATACAAGAGTAAAGATTTGTCCATGCCTACCATGCATGTTAATGTAACATCATGCATGCAACATTAATTTTTATTTTATTTCACACAGTAAAAATTGCAAAGCCTGCATCATAACTACATGTTGAACTTCCTTAACATTTACTGCATTAGATCAGGGAAGAGTGGTTATCCCTTTAATTGCAAGAGCATTTCATAACTAATACATATACACCCATAAAACAAAATGGGTGAATTTTTATGCTTACCCACATTTTACCTAAGTTTAGACCATTAAAACTATGAATATAGATGTCAGGCTTTCGTTATAAGACCTGAGGCTTCAAAATGAGCCTCATCACATTTGAGTGGATTTGAGTGAACAAGATTTAGAAAAGTTTATTCCATGTCAGCCAAGTTTACCTTGCTACTGTTATGTGCATGCATCAATTTGTTTCATGTTTTTCATACCATTTTTTTTTTCTTTTCCCATGCAGAGGCGAGATGAATACAAATTGAACCCTGAACAAGCACTACACATTGTGGCTCGCCTTGCCAGAGAGATATCAAGTTCTTGATGTTTGTGTTTTCATATGCACGTGAGGTGTAAGTCATTGAGTGCTAACACCTTCATTTGTTCTGAGCGGACGGAACTGGAGGAGAGGGTCAAGATCTGCGACTGAGTTTTCAAATGGGTGGGCACCTCTTTCTCCTCATTTACGAATTTTCGTTGAATAATGTTACTTAACGTAGCAGCTTAAGCTAGGCTAACGTTATACATTATGAGCACATATAGGCCTAGGCCTATCATAGATCCGGGTAGTGATCCTATTTCAGACCCTGAGCTAGGAGTACCTTATACCGTACCGCACCGCGTAAACGAACGGCCCGTCTTCGCTTTCGATTGGAATAAGAATGGTTTGACGGTTGCTAACGCTCGTCACACTGGAAATGATCCGCTTCGCTCTCGGCCTTGATGACCTGCAGGGAATCTGGGAAGTATTTGCACATAAACTATCTAAGTCACGCTCCGAAGCAATATTCTGATTATTTGTATGAATTCTTCCGTAGCTCATCCGGATTCTTGAAGTGAGCTTGAGAGATGGGGAATAAAAAATATTGCAGAAAGATAGAATGGAGCATCTGTGCTCTGACATGGCGATTTGCAGGCCCACATGACATCTGCCGACTCCTTTCCTCGTGCGCTTGCTTCTCGTCCTGAACTTCGACCCACTAGCAATTTTCATTCAAACGCCGACCTTTTCCGCATTTTTTATGCTCCCTGGGAAATAACGTTTGGATGAGTTTGAAAGTTGGGAGAGTTACAGGGTTAGAGTCGAGACGTGAAAAAGCAGTTTTGGTCATATTGGCACCCCAAATCTTGGACGAATACTCATCTCTATCTAAGATAACCTCCCCTCTATAGAGATAGTTTTGTATCTCACTTTTGCTGAATTATATTCTGCTATATTCCTCCCTTTTTAATTATTGCAGAAGGTTTCGAGTTCGACATTATTTTTTCAGATTCTCCGTTTATGTCACATATACGTCAAGGGATGAAGTGAATAGCATTGACATTATATTCCATTCTTGAAAGGTATCCATGGAAATGGCGGCCTCAAAATTTTTGCCTCCAGTTTCTTTGCATTGGCTACTCAGCTAGTAGTAACTTCATTATTCAACATTGGTTATACTTGAGGATTGCATCTGCATTAAATTTTATTGGAGCCAGTGAAATAGATGCTCAAGTTCTTACCCCAGATGAAAAGTAAAAATAGCAAAAGGACTAGGCAGTGGGAGGGGAGGTAGGTAGGAACTTGGGAACTGTCCCCCTATGAAAAATTTCTGTATCTGCCCCTGGACTAGTTCCCCCTAATTCTGCTTTCATCATCGGGTTGGAAAAAAACCTAACATTCTTCACATTGTTACAGCCGTAATTAGTCTAAATATCTGGATGAACTAAGTGTTTATAGTTCCTCCAGCATATATGCCTAGTATGCTTCAGTGCAGCTTGCATGAAATACTGTACTATTAAGTGAGGTCCAATCAATGCTGTGACCAATGGAAGAATTACATGCAACTTTTAGGTAATTGAGTAACTGATGAAGTGTAACAGCCTGTTCCTTTAGCTACAGTTCCCTACATGTGTACAGAAATTTTGGTCCCTACTTAATCTCTTAGTCTCTCTTCCTATTTTTTCTGCTTAACCCTGTCCTCACCTATCATGGAGACCTATCATTCTGTGAATAACATTGTTTTTACTGTTGAATATCATGGTCAACTTTTAATTACTCCTATTGAAATACCCAAAGTCCCTCATGTCTCTTATCCAATTTCTCATTCATTGGAGACACCAGTTTTCTTTTTGGAAATTTACTGATTCTATCCATAAGGCCTCAAATAAAATCTCTAAAATAAAAAGAAACAAAAACAGTCACAATATAGAGTCCTGGGGACTCCACTCATGCATGACCCAACTTCTAAAGACACTAACCCTTTTACAATCATCTGCTTTTCCTGACAGCCAAAAATCTAGTTTTATACTATCATCTGACTCAGGCCCATCCTGGGATTGGCCTACTGCCCATAGCCATAGGCTGAAGGCTGAAATCCTAAGAGTTGGGCCCTACTTGATTCTTGTGTGTGTTGCACCATTGAGAAAATGGCTTCATCTCCTGGAGGAGCTCAACAACAGGATGAGCTTAGTGAGTTCTTTCAACCAATATAGACTACCTTGTCATTTGCTAACTTCCTGTCCCTGTCAGTATCTTAGGCATAGTTTTTATTAATTTAGCCACTTGTCTTGCAGTTGGACATTCAGTGATACATCCTTCAATTTTGGTGCAGGATCAGGGCCTATTCCTGTTTATTTATGTTTGAGATCAATTAAAGCTTAACTAAGCATTTAAAGTTATTTTTCCAATGTAGTGTAGGCCTATGTGCAGTTAACTGGACATTGATTTAAAGCAGTGTTAAACTGTGGTCATGGAGGCTTCAGTTAGGCTCAACACAACTAAAACTAAGGCAAAATTGAGATTTAAAGAGCAGTACCTTCCTGACTTCCTTCATGCCCAGCTAGAATGATGTGAATTAGAATGATAAGGCAAATTGGATGTGTGACTGAAAACTGTTTTCTTAAATTTCAGTTTTTTGAGAAACACTTTTCTACCTTTGTTGTAACCCTTGATTCTGTTGTGCATATGCAATAGACCTATTGGATTTTAGCATGAGTTTCACACAGTGATTTGCAAATTAATTTTTAAAATCACCTTTCATGCAGTGCATAGTATTCATGTGGTGCGTTATTGTATCCAAGGAAGTAAGAGGATTTCTCTCTTGTGAAAAGCATTGAACCCATGTTAAAACAGGAAAAATAATTGTTTGAAAATTTTCCATTCCATTGGAATCCTGTACAAATAATGAGTGGGAGCATGTAGTATTTTAAATTACCACAATGGCAATAACCCTTTTGTGAAGAGATGAATCCATAGGTTTGTAGCACAATGAAATGAGAGGTGTGATGGTCTCCCCAGGCCCCCCCCCCTCACTGATTGTCAGTGCTTTTCACATTGGACTTGCTATTATTGTATCAGTTGGTTATTTCTTATGGAGTACATATTCTGATTCAAGCAGATTTAAGCCTAAAATGCAATTATTCACTCATTAGGGTCAGAAATCAATATAAAAAAGTAATAATTCTTATAGACTCAATCAAACCTGCCCATAGCAGAATATGATGCATGCCGTATGAACACACTGGGAAGTAAAACTCTTAAGAACTTGCAAATATATTTTTATATATATTTTTTCCTTGTATCTTATTGGAAAGAAAGTTCTCGAAATTTCTTGAATATCCAGTGCAATTTTTTTCCAGAGCATGCTAGAATGTTCTGCGTGTGTTTATAAGTAGGTCGTGTCCTTCGGCATACAACCGTATATTATTACAGCCCTGGTGCTCTCCAGCCATGAACCAGCCCTACCCTCTTACTAAGGAGCAAGTTCGCCTGCTTCTTCTTTATGACTTCCGAATCAAGAAGAAGGCAGCCAATTCCATCGCTGACATCAATACCGCGTTTGGCCCGGACACTGTGTCCAAGAGCACTGCCTATGATTGGTACAGTCGCTTCCAGAAAGGAAATGAAAGCCTGGAAGACCAGCCACGCACCGGTCGTCCTTCGGAGTTTGATAACTCTGCCTTGCAGGAGGCACTGGAGGCCAACAACCGGCAAACATCGCGAGAGCTTGCGGACTTGCTGGGTGTCTCCCATACAACTATCCTTCATCATCTGGCTGAGCTTGGCAAGAAGGCAAAGTTGGGGTGCTGGGTACCCCACAAGCTGGATTATCGGGACCGCCAGCGACGAGTAGACATGGCCATCTCCCTTCTGTCACGTTCGCGCCGAACGGATTGGCTAGACTCAGTGGTGACAGGCGACGAAAAGTGGACCTTCTATGCCAACATTCGACGAAAACGTCAGTGGGTGGACGCCGGAGCATCGGCCGAAAGAGAACCCCGTCAGGAGTTGCACCCCAAAAAGATTATGCTCTCGGTCTTCTGGGATTCGAAAGGCATCATCATGTTTGAGCTGTTGCCGCAAAACACCACCATCACTGCTGCCTACTACTGCCAGCAACTCGATCGGCTGCAGCAGAAACTGGCTGAAACACGCCCAGAAAGACAGAGAACCATCCTCCTCCACGACGATGCCCGGCCGCACACCGCTAGACAGACTCATCTAAAGTTACTGGACCTGTGCTGGGAGGTGCTGCCGCATCCGCCCTACAGCCCCGACCTTGCCCCGTCCGATTATCACCTTTTCGTTGCCCTGGACCGTCACATGGGTGGAAAGCAGTACGCCAACCAAGACGACCTGAAAACCGATTTGGCCAACTTTTTCGTAGCGCAGCCGCCAGAGTTCTATTGGAATGGCATCCATAGTTTGCATAAACGTTGGCGTGAAGTGATAGAGGCCAATGGTGATTACATTCATGATTGAGATGATTTTGCTTTTAAATAAACTGGGTTGTAATAATTGTTCATGAAATTCCGAGAACTTTCTTTCCAATCAGATACGTCTGGTTTAGATTTACTATTTTCTCATTAATGCAGCCATATTTAGCAATTTTAAAGCTGAAGTTTTACTTCAGTTTGCAGAAATTCCATTAACCAAAAATTCCATAACCTGAAATTGTACTTAGCAGAATGATGACATCAGGTCACTGATTTTTTTCCACACCTTTTCGTTTATTGGTAAGTGCTTGTACTATATCATGTTATTCAATGGACCACTTCATGTTCATTCATAACTGCCTTTCCACATTTAAGGGAATGCACTGAGTGCCCCAGATGTGTTTATCTCTTCCCAGTGTTCCTTTTCCCACTTCCATGTACAATGATTTACAAATGGTTTAATGTCTTCTTCACCATGATGTCTTCATATTTTTGGAGGAAGAATCAAGAATCTCCTTGTGTTCATGGATCCCCATGCTTATGGTGTCTGTCATTTTAAAGATCATAAACACACATTTTCAAATCATTCTATCGTTTGCTATACATTTTATCTGATAGGTTAGGCAACCATGCCACTCTTTTTAATTCTGTGGTGTTTATGAGACAGCATATAGCAAAAAAGAATGTTTTATTTAATTATCTCTTTATATCTTTAAAATATTACAATTCTTGTTCATTTCTCTTGAGCCATTTTGCCATACAATTTTTCAAAGAAACTTAAATTTTATTATTGTGCAAGGAAATTTGTTGAGAGGAATGTGTTAGGTGTGCACCAATTTCAAACAATTTCTCATCAATCTGTTCATGGAAATGAATCTTGCTGCAGATTTTTGAAGTAATGAATAAAGGTCACTGTTTTGAGAAAAAATGGAGTGAGGCAAGATTTGTGAAAGAATTTCCTCCCTAAATATGGAATAAGTATGCTGTTAACTGTTCACAAGCTGCAGGAAATTGGTTCATGAGAGGAAGTGGCAAACCAATAATCTGAAGAAAATAATGTTCATGTGGAAGAAAGCATTGTTTCCTTAAATGATACCTCAGGCAAGAAAGTTCACCCTGCAATTTTATAGAGATATTAGGGTGAGTCAAAGAGATCTGTTCAGCAGATGTTCAGATGGAAGAATCCCTTCAAAATATTTGTAACTCTTAATCAGTGCTGCATGCTTAAAGGTCTATATTGCAGTGTGAGTACAATAATTAAGTTTGTGTTGCATTTTTGAAAAATCACATTTGTGGTTTACCAGCTGAAAATAAATGGATAAAAGTTTGTGAATGCAACTTTGTCTTGGTACCTGCTGTCTTACATCCATCAATGGATTTTATTCCTTTTGCATTAGCGCTCTTGGAAAGAGTTTTCTTACGAGTGGGGACCTGTGAAACTGATGAGCAGCTTCAGAGTGTTGTGAGCAAGTTCCTCCCTCCGGTCCTGCTGAAGCTTTCCAGTCATCAGGAAGGTGTCAGAAAAAAGGTTTGCTAATAGAAGCATTTATTATTGATAGTTTTGCTTCTGCCATGTTATAGTCAAGTCATCTCTCCTTAATCAATCTCTTTTACATTTAGGTTATGGAGCTGCTAGTGCATTTGAACAAGCGTCTGAAATGTCAGCCCAAAGTTCTTCTTCCAGTTGAGGCACTTCTCTTGCAGTACCAAGATCCATCTGCATCTTCCTTCATTATTGTGAGTATTGCATCTGGTTGTATGGAACACCAACATGGGCAGTGCTTGAACCAAATTGAGGCTTTAACAAAAATGAATTATCCAGATTCCAATGTGACAAATAAAAAAGCTGACATTCATCTGAAGCATTAATAATGAGAAATAGAAGGAAGAAAATTGATTAAAAATGGAGTGTTTGGGGAGAAAATAGTGGTAGGTGCTCTGGAACTATATTTGAGCCATTGCAGACAGGTGCATGTCACTCGAGATCTATCCCCTTATTTACTTGGACCTGATTGAACTTTTGTCATTTGAAGTCATGATTTACCTCTAGATTATAGAGATATTTTGGGAAGACTGATCCATGTGAGTAATTATTCAGATTCCATATAGTCCTTCTTACTCAGGGATAATGGTTAGCAATTATAGTGGAAGCTGTTTAGCGCTTCACCAGGTTTCATTTTCATGACTGATGGGTACTCCTAAAATTCAGTATAAGTTGGGACATTGGGATACTAGGATGACCAGAGTGACCATTGTTGTCGCCCCCTGTCCTCAGGACTAGCTTACCTCCATATGCACATTTCCTAGCAAAGAGCTATGTGGTCTAGATTGCTGAGATGTCAGAGGCCCTTGACCTTTGTCACTGTCTGTCTTCTTTTGGAATGATTAGGATGATATATTTTCCATAATGTACATTTATAAATTATTGATCATCCTGCATCAAATCTATACACTTCAGAGTATTTTTTCTTGTGGCCCCTTGATTTTTATTTAAATTAACACAGTGCTTGGTACAATTAACAAAAACATATTCTGAAAGCTTTTTTGCCATCAGTCATTCAGTTCCTGAAATACATGCCTATGATCATTTTGCCTGCTTAATGATCTGGCTACACCTACCTCATTATTTGTGCAACTTCTCTCTTAATTGGGCTAGAGATTTTGTTTATAGCATGTTTTAGAGCTCTTTCTGTACAGTTTCCAAAGATACCTTGCTAACCAGAATTCTTCACAATTTACCACACCTTAAATAAATGATAATGGCTTTCCATCCTCAGTAGTAGGAATACTTTTCTGGAATTTAAATTAAGTTGAGCCTGTTGATTTAGTTGCAGTACGATAACCAGCACTTCAATTGTAATCTTGAGTTATCAGATTTTTTGGGAAATATAGAATATATCACCTTGGATGGTACAAAATAATCTTGCCAGTCTGACCATGAAGTTTGAAAGGTCCAATGGATCTCGTGCTTCAGTCTTAACTGTTCACAAAAGCATGCTCTTTGTGAAGTCTCATTCCTTGATTAGAATGATACAAAAAAATCTTTGATGATGCTATCCCATTGGGGAAAACTACTATTCCCTACAGGGGATGGTGTACTCCTAGGAGGAAGTATGAAGCTTCATAAAAGACAGGGTAACTGGTAATTATGTAGCCATTTAACTTTCTTGCTTCAGCCTCTCAATATCATTGTGATGGTTACATTGGAGTAAAATACTATGTACTGTACCCAATTTGTCTCAGGAGCTGTACTGGCTTTTAGAAGTGATACCATGAAAATAATGTAGGCCTACTGATCATCACAAAGTCTATTTTTTATCCAATAGTTCATTGCTTGATGTCTCTCATAGAACTTCGCCATTATCTACATAAGAATGGGGTTTCCTCGCTTGGATGTCAAGAAGCAGGCTGAACTGGTTCCAAATATCATGAGTTGTCTCTATAATCGTCCCCAACAGCATCAAGACAGGTTTGTGATAGAAAAGACCACAGGTGTATTACATTATACTAAAAGAGAAATAATTTCTTCACAAAGGCTCTTTTAAATCAGTTGATACCTTAATTAGCCTATCTTATTTTCAGTTTGTTACTGATGATCATGCCAGCTCTGGGATACCTTGAACTACCTGAGGACAGGGAGAAATGCAAGTCCATTTTCAAACTGGGTGACAAACCACTGACAACTCGACTTTTTCTAGATTTTGTGCTGGACTTCCTCCTTCTCCCTTATGGGTAATTTATAGATAACTTCAATTGATTATCATATCAAAAGCCTTTATCTTATATTCTTTATATTCTGAAAAGGCAACCTAATCCAAAAGATCTAAAGGGATCCTCTCAGAGCGCCAGTGGAACTTCAGGATCAACATCCACTTCTTCCCCCACTCAGTCCTCAGCAGTCCCTCCTGGAATGAGTGAATATTCATGGCGGAGAGTTATGGGTGATGAGGGATGGAAGGCTGATGAACTTGAGGAGGTGGGTCACAGGCTTGTCTCATCCTCTTTCCTTGGCATTTCTTCATTGAAGAGAATCTGGTCCCACTCACCTTTGTGATTTTTACTTCTTTAGGTGAAGGTTGGGATAGTGAAGTTCCTCTCCAAGGGTGTTTTTGATGACAACCAAGTTGTGGTTCATTTTGTTGTTGCTTCTGCGGATACTCGTTTTTCTGTTGCCAATCTAGCTGAATCTGAGCTCAAGAAGCTTGGAAGGTCAGCTTCCATCAATTTTACTTATCTCTCATTTTGGAAGGAGTTGATGAATTTCACTTTTTTGTATATTCTTGATTGATCATAGCCATGTCAGCTGGAATGATGGTAATGTGATCCAGGGTTTGTTTGAGCTCTTCTTGGGAACTGGTACTGGCAAGGCTTCCCCATCTCCTACTGTCAAACCAGAATCCAAGAAAGAGCCTGTATCAATCAGAATTCGTCTCAAGATATTCCCTTATCTGATGCGTTCCACCCAATCAACAAGGACTCTTCCTGAGTGCATGCAGGTGAGAAATTAGGTTTCATTCAATTATTGCATAAAATTTTGATATGGAACCTGCTGGTGATTGATGATTCATATTCCTGAAATCTCAGGTTATAATGGACAGTTTGTTTGGCACAAAGAATACCAATGGGAAGTTGAAGCATTTGGCTCTCCAGTACTGTCATCTTGTGATTGAGAAGTGAGTTGCCAATCTTTCCAGTGCCATTTTCAATTCAAGGAGCTGCACCTGCATTGATTCATCCCTCTGTCATCCTTTTCAGCTGCCCTCCTGGAAAGTTAAATAGTTATGGGAGTATGATCCTCACCTCTTTCTTACGCATCATCATGGAGGAGAAACAGGTTTGCACCTTATTCCTGTTGCTTTTTGCAGATACAGATACATCCTGACACAATGCTGCCCTTGCTTGATTTTTTTGCTATAAAGGATACCAAGCTGAGGAGCTCTTGTTATATGGCCATGGGGAAAATGGGGAGGAAACTCCCCCAGGTCTTCTATGAAGACATTTCCTTTGTTTATACCCTCTTTGAGTATCTGCCCAAGGTGAGTTGAGTAAAGGGAACCTCACTGCTGAGTGGAGATTTCTTATGTAGATATCTACCTTCTCATGCAAATATGAGAAGTAATGTGGGTGAAGCTATGCAGTGGTCTGGGGAAAGAGCTAGAGTTGAGGTTAGTATAACATGACAGAAAACAACTGGCAAGCATACCAAAAGATAGATGGAGGCTGTTCTTTAGCAGAGAGGAGGGGGATGACTCAAAAGGAAAGTATTATCAAGAGGTTAAAAGTGCATCACTGCACCTTTAGAGGCCACCTGTTTGAGGATAGTGCCATTCATTTGCATAGAAAGTCTCACTCTTAGAACTTATGTTCATAGTAACATGTTCACTACATATTTGGCTTGCTATATAAGCTCCCTCAGCTCAAGCATCAAGCTTCTTAAAACAGCCAAGTTTCATCCAAATCCTTGGCTTATTTTTTAGGTATTTGAGTTCTTGATGTGTCCATATGAAACATAGCTTAGAATTCTTGCTAGGGGACTTGTACTATATATGGAGTGAACAAGTGAGCATGTACAGGAGCTGGGAAAGGGAGAAGTTGAATGGAACAGATACACAAAGACCACTTCACAATCCCAAAAACTTGGCATCATAATTGTATGGGCCCTGCAGGGCCTCCAGTTTATCCAGTCCAGGTATGCAATGTATATATAGGGCAGTAGCAGAAAATTCTCCAGAAAATTCCAATGGAATGGGGTTGACGTTTGAAAAATTGGTAACCCACCCTGCATTTAAGACCAAAGTAAAAAATTTTTGAGAATCAAACCTGTAAAATGTATCCCAAAGGTAAGGGGGGAAGGTAATGATGCCCATAACTCCCTCCTTGGACTCGTCACTGCTACAGAATTTGGCTAAAAACATGACCAACAGCTTTTAACTTACCTAATCCCAGTCCTGCTGGAGTTATTTTCATGAAACTTTTACTCTTTGTAGACAGATCAATTATAGCAGATCAGAAAAATTTAATTCAAATTTGTGGTGTTGGTAATGCTATCTGCAACTATTCAAAAGTAGGTTGATATTGAAAATGGACAAGAGGTTGTGCTGGTAGTTGAGTGAATTGAATTCCACACCTTTGCACTCTGCTTGCATATCATCCAATCCACATCAAACTTATCTTTCATTCAAAATGATTATTTTGGCTGACCTTTTCTTGCTCATGGTTTTGATGAGCTTTTCCTAATTAATGATCAATGAATCAGTCACAATGCTAAAGTGAGAGTAGAGATACATTGGTTTGAAGCCATTGGTCTTCTTGTATCTGTGGGTACAGTAACCAGGGCAAGCTTGGGTCATCCTCCAATGCCTTCCTAGAGGAGTGGGTCATGTAGCCATCTAGTTCAGGGGTGCCCAACCCATGGCCCGCGGGCAAAAAGTGGCCCTTGAGGTGGTTACAAGTGGCCTGCGAAGCCCTAACCCACAATACCCTCAGGTTTCCTTAAAATAGTCTCCTACAATGCTAGTGACTTAATATGGCCCGTGATGGCTGTTGTAGTAAGCTATGTGGCCCCCTAGCTGAAAAGGTTGGGCACCACTGATCTAGTCCATAGTGAAGGAGACACCTCGATAGATAAACAGTTGATCCCTATTCTCTGGTCATACAAGGACGTTGATAGTACCCATCTACTCTCTCTTCCCACTGAGACTCATATAATGTGAATCAGTAAGTGTTTTAGATTCATCGCTGTCATATCAAATGAATGCAAATTCTTAAGTTTCTCATATCCTATTAGTCCTAAGGCAAGATTTTACCCTAGTTTACATTCCTGAGGAATCCTAGTATCCATGGTCACTCTGATTGCACCCTCATATATCTATCTTGACAGCTGTCTACAGCCACCCTTTTATCCCAATTTTAGGAGGAGGGAGAGGTGAAACTTTCTGTATTGGAGGCATTGAAAATGATCGCCCCCTGCTATACACATGGGAAAACTCCACCTGGAGAGAGGAGCCTGCTTATCCCTGTAGTTGTAGCCTCCTTAGAACACACAGACCACCTCTTGAGATTGGCTGCTGTCCACTATGCAGCCACTATGCTTCCTCCAGACTCTCACACAAAGTACCTTCTTCTGGTTGCTGCTGGAGATGAGTGAGTGTACTCTGAGTTATGCTTCTTGGAAAAGAGTGGTACTTGCAACCTCCAAAATCAAAATTTCAGTGTATGTTCTATTGAATTTCCAGGTCTGATACTGTGAGTTCAGAGGCTATCAAGGCCCTTTACCCTATGCAAGATTCTGCTAGGCCTGTGGAAAAAGAAGCAGAAATTACTATTCCTGATTATGCCTCAATGGTATCTTGTCTGGAACACAAAGCTAGTTCCAGGATTAGCAAGAACAAGGTTGTGGTTGTAGGGAAGTATAGAGTGCCTTTCAATGCTGCAGCCTTTTATCAGGTACAAGCACTTTTAATGCCTCTTCTATTTCACATGTTTATTTTAGCATAATTAAATTCCAAGTTTTACTACATACCTTGTAGATGCTGAAGTATGTGCAAATGTGCCTTGCTATTGAATCTGGTGCCACATTCTGCGATGGAACATTCCCTGACAATGAGAAAGTGAAAGTCAGTGTATATTTGGATTCTCTGGATTCTCAGTCAGAGAATCCTTTGTTTATGCATATCTCACTCCTGAAACGGTATCTTATTCCCTACAAGGCCAACCCAAGTCAAGGTGAGGAGCAACTCTCATGTTCATGTGCACTGTTCACAAATGACTTTTGAATTTTTTCTCTTTTTAATAGCTTCTGAGGTAATGAATTACCTATTGGACCTAATAAATGCTTCACCAAAAGCATCCACAAAGGACCTCTCATTAGATGCTGACTGGATGAAAACCTACCAAGGTCTAAGCACTTCCTCACGTGTGGAAGTGTACTCTCCAGTCACCCATTCTCTGGGGCTCATTGCAGCTCATGCCTATAATGAGAAGCAGTTCCATGAGTTTGTTTTGGGCCTCCTTTCTAACATGAGCAAGGTCTGTTTTGAAAATTTTACTCATGGAGTTTTGCACAAGCATCTAGAAATTTTTGAAGGCTCACCCAGGAATGTTATGTTCCAGAATATAGAGCTCAAGAGGTCAGGGATGTTGACCTGTGCACATGCTTTAGCTGAGAAATATAACCCTGCCCCAAAGGTGGTGAAGCGACACATCATTCCCTGTCTGAAAGTTATCTGTGAGTCTTCTTGCTGTCTTATTTGACTCAAGAAGTTAGGTAATTAGAGCTATAAAAATATCTAAATATTATCCTCATGTGGGATATTGTTCCAGTGGCTGAATTGACAGATGGAGGGCAGCTTCTATGGGTTGCAAGCACAGCCTTGGGGATACTGTGCAGATCGATGCCACTACCCCTCAAGGATAAGGATATTGGGACAACTCCTGATGACCTTTCCAAAAATCTTCTATCTCTTGTTGCTTCCAATCAGATTCCAATGAAAGTGAGATAGTTATTTCTTATTTTATGCTCTCTAAAGCATCCAATATCATGTAGTTTGTCTTGTACATGGGGGATTCAATCAATTCTAAGCCTGAGGCACTTCCAGTTGCAATACACCTTTTTACTCTTCTCATGATAAGATTGTCTTTGATGATGTCTGGTAAAATTTCATCTTATGTGTCAATTAAAGATAGCATCAATGATTTTTTTTTTCAAAGTGACACCAAAGGAAGTATGAAGGAGTATTAAAATTGAGATGAATGCTGTGATGAATTTTCTAACCTCAGAGGAGTCAATCTTCCAGCATATCTTTCGGCAGCTAAGCAGATGGGGTCCTGATATTTCTATGAGGGAGAAGTATGCTCTGAAATGTATGATGCTCAGCAGTGCATCATATTTATGTTTCAGACCATACAGAACCTACAAAGCAGAGACTTAGCATATAGCATCTCCTCCATTTTTAGTCAATGGTGGCTTGCAATCAAATGTACTACTTACAAATTGGACTGCAATGAACAGTTGGACATAGTCTACCAAGAATGAGTAATTGCTGTTATCAAACTTAAATGCTCTGGATTTTGTTTTGAAAAACTTTTTCTCGCAACAACCTGTGCTGAGTCATCAATGGGGTCTGCATTGTTCTCCCAAGCACTGTTGGTACAAGGTCTTTTACCAGACATTTACAGGATACGAAGAACAAAAATTGTCTTCTAACTTGATGGTATGTTGTAGCACACACCTTGAGCATCGTGGGCAATTGTTGAGTTCCTGCAGAATGATGCCCCTATCTTTATTGAACCTATTATTATTACCCTGTCGCCACCCAATAACCCCAATGCAGACTCTGTTGATCACTGTTGGGGCTATGTGACATGGAAAAGTCTTCCCAACAGAAATTGAATATTTGTAACTGACAGTTGTGGATTCTTTGCAAACCTTGCCCCTCTACATGTAGCAGCACATTATTGGATAGAGGCATGCTCAATTACAGGCCATCATAGACCAGAATGCAGGACCTTTGGAGTTTCTATTTCAAGACACCAAAGAGTTGCCACAAAAGTGTTTGTATGTTATATATTTGTATGTTTACATATTGCGAGTCTTATAATTTGCACACATATATAAGTCTTTATGGAAGAATTGAGCTTGATGGTAGTGATAAGAAGACTATCACATCCCACTCACCCCAACAGAAGAAGCTGATAGCCTGCAAGTGTTGTAGTCTATCTGGTGCAACTTTGCAATGCCAGCCTTGCTTGTTTTATGGTAAGTCATTAATTTTGTGCTGTCAACCTGTCAAATCATTGGAAAGGGGCTTGAGGCTATCAGTAGCAGACCTAGGTGTTTCTGGCACTCACCAGGCATGTAATCAATATTTCCAAAGTCATTCATACATGATGCTCCCCCTCCTCCTCCCAGGAGCATCGCACTAGTGTCTGGCAGAAGGGTCAGTGGGAAATCACCCTCTCCCCTCAGGGGAGAGGAAGATGGATGGCATTTAATGACTCCTTTGAGGATTAAAAGTGTGGCAAGGTTGGACCCGATAGACTATGCATATCTAGTAATGGAAGGAGAAAATGGAGGGGTGCAGAGTCATTGAAAGCCCTCCAAACTTGAATGCAAATTTACCATTTTTCCCCCCCTGCTTCTGTAACTCTTTTGCTCGCAAGTTTTTTTGGCTCTTAGCTCTTTTTACATAAAAGCATTCAACATCTCACTTCAATATACAATTAAAACTTCAGTTTTAATTGCTTATTCAGTTATTATTTCAGTATTTGTTGTCGTGACAATGTCAGCTGGAATTAATCAGCTTAATGGTTGCCATATCAACTATTGTATAGACTGTCAGGGAGGAGCCCCTGATTCAGAGGAAGTGCACATGAATGATGTATTGGGTGAAATATGCATTAGTTAATTGAAAATTACTTCAGTTGCATTGCACAATTGTGTATTAGGTACATGAAAGGGTTGGGTTATCATTTACAACCCAGCAAGGGTTGTGCTTGAAATCATATGGTTCATCCATCTTCTGATGAATCCTATTGGCAATTTTCAAAATAAAAATCTATTGGTGTCAGGTGAAGGAGGAGTGTGCAATGACTTGTGGCTATCTATGCATTGGTGATCCACACTTCCCTTCTGTCCAGCTTCTCATTCAAGGATTTCTCACAGCTGCTTCTGAGGTCTTATACTATTCCTTCTCATCCTTTTGGTCCTGCATACATGAAGTTGAAAACTGCCTTGGCTTGACACGCAGGTGAAGGATGTAGAACTGCATTTGACCATGGGTGAGGCCTTAGTCTGTCTCATTCTAAAGGATGAAAGCCCTATGGCCCAAAACCCATGGCATCCTAAAGCCCAATCAAATCAAGGAACTTCAAATGAAGATTTAGATTGGACAGTCAAGACAATCTTGGAAAAGTATGCCTCACAGTCCCACCCATCCGTGAGACAGGTGAGTCCAATGCCTAGGATTCCACATTCTTGAAATTTACTTTTTAAGGCATTTAAGGAAGATTTTTCAATTATTATTATTTACCAAAAGAGGTCTTGGTTGCAGCTCTGTTGTAAAAGTTAATCTATTGGCACCTACTGGGGATTTAGAATTTAGGAAAAAATCTCAAAATATTTCAATTTTGAGTAACAATTAAATTGAAAATCTTCTCTTGCCACAAAAATTATCTATTTCAAAATATTGATAGATAAGGTTCTGTGGAGCCTTATCTATCCCAAAATACAAAACTATCAAACTGATATCATTGGATATCAATGATTGAATTTGGTGTTTCTTTTGGATGATGTGTTTTCAACCCCTCTTATTGTTTACAATTGGGGTTCTTATAGGCTTCATGCATCTGGCTTCTTGCTCTGGTGAAGTACTGCCGAGCAGCTAAGGAGATGCAGAAATACCTTCAGCAGTTGCAGAGGGCCTTCATGGAATTCTTAACAGATTCCAATGGTCTGAATGACCCTTCTTGTCTCTCTTTATGCATTGTAAAGGTCAAGTGGTGAAACAAATGACAATTTCATATGCAGATTTTGTGCAAGATGCGGGATCAAAAGGCCTGGGTTTGGTATATGAAGCAAGCTCTCCAGAAGAGCAACAAGAATTGGTGAATTCACTTGTTGAAGGTCTGTCAGGAGGAGTGCGTTCCAGTAGAAAGGTTACTGAGGACACAGAACTGTTTGAAGAGGGCTCCCTTGGGAATACACCTGTTGGGTGAGTGAATAGTCAATAGAATGTCAAAAATGTTCTCTGTCCTGATAAGATTATTGCCATTTTCCCTTTTTTTTTTTAAATAGAGGAGGATTGTCAACTTACAAGGAGTTGTGTTCTCTTGCATCTGACCTACATCAGCCAGACCTGATATACAAGTTCCTTCATCTGGCAAATCACCATGCTGCCTGGAATTCCAAAAAGGTTTGGCAAAGTGCTCTTTAGGTTGTCTTCATGAATGTATACAGACTCAAGATATATCTGACTTGAGTCTATGTTTCATTTAGGGAGCTGCATATGGCTTTACATCCATTGCAAAAATCGCTGGTGAGCAGTTGAAGCCAAAGCTGTCTCTCATCATCCCAAAGCTGTATCGCTATCAGTTTGATCCAAATCCCAGGATTCAACACTCCATGGCTGACATTTGGAATTCGCTTGTTACAGAAAAACAAAAAACAGTGAGTTGTCAAGTGCTCCTGGCCTGCTATAGAATTTGTCTGCACATAAAACCTTTTTTTTTCTTTCAAGATCCTGGAATGTTATAAGCCCATCATGGATGAGATCTTGGCTGCTTTGACCGATGGCCAATGGCGGGTGAGGGAATCGGCTTGCATGGCCCTCTGTGACCTTCTGGGCCGGAATGGGGACCTCAGTGACATTTCCCATCTCCTGCCTGAGATCTGGAAGTCCCTTTTCAGAGTTTTGGATGACATCAAGGAGTCTGTCAGAAAGGCTGCTCTTGCTTCTGTCAAGGCTATGGGCAAAGTCAGTCAGATTAATTTCAATATATTTATTTATTACAAGTTACTTTCTAGAGCTCAGTTTACCCCTTCATTCTCAACTCTATTAGATCACTTTGATAGGCTGAAGTTCTCTCTTAATTTCCAGGCCCTGCTGAACAACTGCCAGTCACAAAGTGGAAAGAGTATTCTTGAAGCCTCTCTGCCATCACTCTTGGATATAGGACTCAAGAGCATTGTTGCTGAAGTTCGCCTTGTCACGTAAGCAATGCTTCCTTCTTTTTTTAAATGTATTTGAATACATATACAGCTCTACAGCTTGGAAAAATGACAAGGACATTATTAGGGATGGGTTATTGACCAGTCAATATGGTCAACTACGGTCAATTTTGGTAAATAGGACCAACTTTTATTTATTTATTTTTTTTTTTCTTTGTAGTTTTTGCACCATTATGTATGTCATGACTCACAAGTGATGGGACTAGGGATGGGAAGTTGACTGGTCAACATGGTCATCTTAGACCATTTGCAGAAAATAATGGTTATGAGCCCAACAAGAAGTTAGGCCTTATGACTATATGATCATAAATGACCATGTTGACCAGTCAACATATCATTGCTAAGATAAAATTTAATATTCCAACTCATGCAATCTATAGGGTAAACAGTAATGAATCATGTTTCATAGCTAGATTAATTTTTTTAGGCATAGGCATAGGCATAACCCATAATTTTTTTAATTCACTGAATTAAAAAAAATTATTGGTCAATAATAGTCAATTAAAAGGTGGTCAATTGACTGCCCCCCCATCCCTAGACATTATGCATACCCTTGGAAGAATAGAGTCATTTTAAAAGAACAGATTAAGTATGACCCTTTTACTATGTTGTAATGAAAGTTTTTGTGCTTACAAACAACACAATAGTCCACAAAGGACGATTTTTTCATCACACATTCTGAATGCTGTAATTTTTCAAATAAATTTAGCAATTTGTAAAAAAAAAAAAGCAACATATATTTATACGCAACATAAAACGCATTTTTGTTCAGAATGTATAACAAAAAAATCATGCTTCGGGGACTGTTGCATTGTTTGTATGCACAAAAACTTTCATTACAACCTAGTAGTAAGTTCCATCCACTTCAGGTGTTTATGGGGAATGGGAAAACCAGAAAGGAAAAGTTAGAAAAGGAAAAATAGAATAAAATGAAGTAAAATAAAATGAAGTAAAATAAAATTTTAAGAGTCAAAATCAAACAAAAGAAGTAAAAAGAAACGAAAGTCAAACTCTAGCTTTCAGCACACCCTTCTCCAGAGGCAAAGAGAAAATGAAAAGAAGTGAAAAGGAAGGAGTCATTTATGGACAGGGATGTCTGCTAGCAGATGTAAGGGACAGAGTTTTCAGAGGTCTTCATATTTAGCCCATAAGGGCAGAAAGTCCTCTATCAGGTTTTTGTATGGCAGTTCTATTTTCCAATTTGGTGGATATTTGAAACTTGCATGAAGGTCATGAAGGGGGGAAAGTTTGGAACTTTTTCTGAAACCTGGGTCCCTTACATCTTCAAGTAGACATACCTGTCTATAATGGCTTTGTTCTCAGCTCTTCTCTCCTCTCTCTTACTGAAGAGGAACTTTGCCTGAAGACTAGATTTGATTTTAATTTCTTTTTGCTTTCCCTGTTTGTATTTTCATCCTTCATTTCATTATTTTTGTTGTTTTTTTTCCCATTCATTTTATATGCCTTAAAATATTTTAAACGATTAGGTCTGGATGGATGACTAAAATTGTGATATGGCTCCACTGGGGTTATGCCATAAAAAAAAAAATTTTCCTTTTGCCCCAACCTTGAAATTGCCATGAATGCATGAAGCTCATTTATGTATCTTATATATATTTCCTGGAATAATTTCACATTGATTGCTATCAGAGTGAAAGATGGTGGGTGGCTTCTAATAGGAATCACTGGAATTGACTACTTTTTTCCAAATATATATCCATTCACTTTTCTTTGAAAAATCATTCATATTGCTTTTTTTTCTCACAAGCAGTACATAGATGTACCTTTGTTAATTACACTGTGTACAAAATAAATTAATTTGACCAAGGTTTCTATTGACCTAGGACTATGAACAATCTAGAACAGTCTGAGATTTATAGTTTTTATTATCAGTGGAAATCCTGCTGAATCAGAGTACATGATATCTCTGGCTTCTAGTTAGTTATAGTTATGGGGATTAATTTAGGCCTGCATTGTGTGCCTGTATTAGTCACAATGATTGCCTCTTAACCCTTAAACTACCAAGCCTCAAAGTTTTGCGTGTTATAACATAGGCTCTATGTCAAATTAGACCCAACCTGGTCATTTAAGGGTTAAGAAAATGTGCCATGGTAAAAGAAGAAGACCTGAGTGCAAAGGAAGAGAAACCTTACTTGAAATATGTTGAGTGTCTAAGGACTGTAAAACAATCTATCCCATCTAGTGGTGTTGGAAAGCTGTTAATAAAGAAGATTTTTTTGGAAAACAAAGGTACTGCAGGTAAAAGCTAGCCAACTAAAGACAATGCAGTGAAGCAGGTCAAGAGATCTACAGGGATCCCAATAGTCATTGAAATTATCACATCTTCTTAAAAATATAATTAAAATGTTTTCCCTCCACATTTATGCGTAGTTGTAGGTTCTCAAACCATGATACCCAACTCATCATAGGATATCCTCAGGTATTTGAGTACATGCCTTAGTGGTGCTTTGAATGCTCAAGGAGTGGCTTGAGTATCTACAGCTGTGCCTGAACAAGCATATTTCTTATGAAATATGCTTGACCTATTGAAAAGTCTGGAACTATAAGTGATTAGTTATTGATCATTTATGATTCCAGACTTTTGAGCCACTCTATTAAGGAACCAGACCTTCATGTTGAATGTACAGGGTGTTTGGAAAGTAACTCCCTATTTTATAATTGCAATAACTTATTCACTTTTTGGACTAGAACCTTGGTTTTTGTGCCAAAAGAACAAGAATACTTTGAGATTTTATGATTTCATTGATTTTTTTGTTTACATTGATCCCTCATTGTGTCAAAATTAAATCTTCAACACCATGCACAAGTAGCTGCACAGTATGAGGCATGGAGGTCCTCCATTATGAACCGGAGGTGGTGGTGGAAGGAGAATGGCTTGGATGCAACTCCTAACCTCCTCCACCTCCACACCTCATACTGTGCAGCTACTTGTGCATGGTGTTGAAGATTTAATTTTGACACAATGAGGGATCAATGTAAACAAACAAATTAATGAAATCATAAAATCCCATTGAATTCTTGTTCCTTTGGCACAAACACCAGTTCCAGTCCAAAAAGTGAGTAAGTTATTGCAATTATAAAATGGAGAGTTACTTTCAAAACACCCTGTATATACCACAATTCCCCATCAGGTGGACCTAATTAATATTGTCAGCATTACCTGGCAATTGAGGTTTTTTTTTGTGAGATTGGCTCCAATTCCAGATATGAAAGGGAAAAAAGAAATGTGTTGAAAGGATGGCTTAAGATTTGCTGGTCATCTTTGAGCACCAAAAGCATAGTATTAAAATGTCGTGGGCATGGTATAGAGTCCCATGAGTGTGCAATTTTAGGGTTATCAATAAGTATTAGTTAGAAAGTAAATCCAGAACAGTGAAGTACAGCTGGAGTAACTCCTGGCAATGCAGATACTTGTGCTCTGCCACTGGTGCAAAATCCTGGAAGATCATCAAGGACAAGGGGTTGGCCACCTTTTTGTTTTCCAGTATGTCTGCTAGAGACCAGTACAGTAGACTTTTTCTCTTTCTGATGGGAAGATCATCCCACCATCATAATAATTAGACAGTTTCTGGCTGTGATTAGGCCTTTCTTCAAGTGTTCAGAAAATCATTAGAGACATTTCACAATTTTGGGTAGCTAGTCACAAAAATGTATCAGAAGGAAAACTCCCAAGTCATGGTCACCATGCAAAAATTATCTGCCATGTCTCTGCTTAATGCATGGAGCAAGGCCATGTTTTTTCTCTACTGTATGTCTTGAACTTGGTTCCCCTTGGCTCTTGTATGTTGACATCGTTCCACGTGACACATTCAGATGAATGAGTCAGGGTCATGTGACCAATGATCCTGATTGTTTTAACATATTGCCTCTGTCTATCTCGCTTCCTTTGTATTTCTGGTCTCTTCATAATATGAGATAAATATGCTCTGCCTTCAAAGCAATCTTGAAGCACCTGGAGTGGTCATCTTTGTAACGAGTCATCTTTCAAGAGCAAAGGGAAGCATGAATGAAAAAAAAAGCTAGAATGTATTATAAAAGGTACATTTTGCATGTAATGTGTTGCATTTCATCCTCTTAGTTTGCATAGCAATTACTGGAGAAAACATCCAAAAACCGGATATTCACACAAGATCTATGAACCAGTTGATCAAAATGGTATGAACACACGTAATTATGGATCATTATGGTATAATTTCATTATTAGACCATAATATTCCTAACATTGTGCAAGATTCAGAAGTTGCAACTGGACTTCAAATCAGATGTTAGGAAGTATGTCCAAAAGTTTGGTGCTTCAGGGGAGCACTGTTGCAGGTCTTGAAAGTCGAATGAATACACAGATTTCCAGGTGGTTGCAGAGGTCACTTGGATTTTGATTGTTGTTAATGAGGAAATGGACTATTTCATCCTGGAACTGATCTGTGATGGCCTGACATTTGTCCATTTGCGGAGCAAGTTGGGGATGTGTGATGCACATGCTGTGAAGAATTGAGACAAGTTCAGTGGAACTATAATCGCCAATTTCAGGGTACATCTTGGACAGCTCTGTCTCCCAGATGCGACAGGTACTGCACTTCTCTTCTGGGGTGATATCTAGGTCATTCAGGGCAATAGAAAAGCCACAGAGCTCCAGAATATTGCAGATGCCTATTGGATCAACGTCATTGCTGAGATGGGCGACGATGTCTTGTTCATAATGATCCATGAGGGTGACGCATTTATCGGGTTTTGAGGTAAGCTCTTCATTTTGATAGCAAATGCCAAGGAGGATCTCGCGAATACTGTATGAATCCAGAGTACTGAGATCAGTCTCCTGGTCAATGGCATCCAGCTCCACCTCCCAGATCCGACATATGCTGCATTTCTCATCGGGTGAGATATCATCTAGATCTGGGTCCAATAGAATCTGCCGCTAATAAGAAGGATTGAATGATTTTTTTTCAAAGGCCAAATGTAAGAACTCACCCATTAATGATGTGCGGGAGCAGAAGTTGTTGGCTTGGCAGTACTTCTGGATTGTCGTCCGATCCAAACCATTTGGCTTCTTGCCTAGAGCAGCTGTAAAGGTCGATATGAAGCTGTAGCTCATGCGGTCGACGCACTCGAAGACTTGTGGTGAAGGAAGCTGGAGGGAATTGCATTCAAGTCGTGTGAGTTCTCTTATAAGTCTGGCTACATCGCGGATCCGACCAACTTTGAGGGAATTCCCTGCTGCTATGCACCAGTTGCAGGAGCTGTACCCTACAGCTTTTGGTACGATTTCTGGTTTCCCCGCGGTTGTTTCTTCAACTGGGAGGATGATGGGAATTGCTGCTGCATTCAAAGCCGTATCTACTTGATCGGGTTTCAACGGGGATGGACGGACTGCAACAATTCCAACTTCCTTCTGAGAGCCCTTATTCTTCTCCATCATTCGGGAAGGGTCTTCATTGGGAAATAGGGGAAACTGACTCCATCTGCTTGCATCTTGCATGCTGGCCGACCTACCTCCTGTAAAGCAAAAAGACCTGACATTCTCCGAAGGTTACGATAAGAAAGCAGACGTTCTGCAATCAACGCAACAGATTATCATTCGCCACAAGGTCACTGCATTATTTATTGTTTATGGTTTATTGTTCGTTACCTCACAGATTGTCAATGTCAACATGTTCCGACATGCGATTTCCTGGTGGCACTGATTTCAGCGAACTGAGTCAGTGTTGAATCCGAGGTAAAAATCCCTTGAACCTTTTCATCCTGTATCTCTGCGATGATCCGATGAGGCAGCACAATTTCTTGTGGCTCTCATGAAGCTAGTAAGTGCATGAGCGTGTGGATGCTCCGATACTGGAACCGCCAAGTGCGAGGTGAACATGTCGATATCGTAAACTCGTGTGACCCAGAAATTGGTTTTATTTGCCTTGCCAGGTCATCAATTCTCTCATATTTTATCATTTCGCGATTCACATGAGGTAGAAAAGCTCGCGGCTGGTTGTAAAGATACATTTTAGCCGACATGGACCAATCGGGATGTTTTAACCCTCTCATGCCTGAATTTTTGATAACTCACGAACCCAATTTTCATCGTTTCTGCTGCTTTGGAGGCTAATTGACAGTTTTTAAAATTCCTGCCTAATTTTAATTTCAATCGGTTAGTATGAGCTCTTCTCCAACAAGGCCTCCCCGGATTCGTGGGTGCTTTCAATTCCAAAAAAACAATGAAATAATTGCAGTTTATCTGTCCGCAAGTGAGGACGGGATGCATGGGAGGGTTAATAGAATACTGGGTTGTATCTTTCCAAATTAATTTTTATATAGAAGTGACTCTCCCGTCAGGCTTAAAGCTAAATTTAGAGATACTACGGAATTCGGACAGTGCCTTCTATACTTGATACTGGAAGGTATTTCCGATGCAGTACCTATTTATACCTGCCAAGGTCTGACTGACCCTTGGCAGGTATAGCCACAGTACAAGCAAAACTGCTGCATCGTATTTGTTTTCTTGCTCACCAGTCTCAGCGAGGATGGTTAGGAGGAGAGAAGCGCAGAGAAGCTTCATCTTGGATCCGGAACCCACGGGGTCATAAAAAAAAGACAGGTATTCTGAAGATATCAGTCCTCTGAGAGATCGTCGTCCGCTTGGTAGGACGAAAGATTGACTGAACTTGAGCCCGACCTCATCCAGATCTATATATATACCTTTATCGGTTGAACTAGAGAGAATATGCTTTATCTGGACTTTTACTAGTGCTTTTTTATGTATAACCTCGTTTCCTTGATTTGGTTAAAGGAGAAAAGTAAGTATACAAACCCCACCCTCTCATCTTCATGTGCGTCACAGCTCTCAAAATCCTTCAGGTGTGAATGTTTGATGAAACAACAACGGCTGGCGTCAACGACGGCCACTTGAAGTCGTGTCCACAGTGTGACTGTGCCGTGACGTTTGACGCCGGCCTGCCTTTTCTCGTTCACGGATTCCGATAAGGGGAATTCCGTCGGATGCGATCGGTGTGTTTTCCCAAACGAACGGCAAGCAATCGAGATTTATTGGAGTCAGGAATGTGGAATCCGGAATCCGGGATGTGGCCGTAATCAATAACTTCTTGGTGTTATTTGGGAGACAGCCCGCATTCTGCGCTATCGAAGGACTGCGCGATCACAAAAAGTTTTCCGTGAAACGTAGAGATTTTACTCTTTTTTCTTTTGCAAATGAGCAGGATTCTTTTCCGGAAAAAAAGTAATTGCCTCTGTTCCGTTATTTGCATGTATGTCATGAGGGGACCGAAGCCCCAAGCCTGTTATGTTAAATCGAACTCCTAATATTTCGTGTGTTTTTTTCACTGTTTCCGCTATCATAAGTCCTAACTCATCATATCATAAATCGACATAAATTAAGGATTTCCTTTACAATAGTTCCGGTCAGCTGTTTCGGGTGTGTATCCAACGCAGGAGAAAAAATTCTAGATCATACTAATAGTCAAATCACAGAGGTTCTTGTCTATCAGAAAGGAATATATTTATTTTCGTGTCAAAAGTTTGCTTATAGCTAGGGAAACTTGAGTTTTTTATGAGGAAGTTTCCAATGCGATTTTATCAGCCATGTTGCCGGTGAGAACTGGTCGCTCTGACGTTAGACCTGTAATCTGTGTTCCTTTGAGGGTTTGGTCCTGGAACGTCACAGACTAGAATGACTTTTTTTAAGTGACAGAGTCATTTTTTTACGTTAATTTTGATGTTAATTTTTTTGCCAAAGGAAATGCAGTCCTTTTGTTTGCCAAAAAAAAACGAATTTTGTACTAAAAGGAATGTTTATAATTTGAAAGTGTGTCCTATTCAAAACCCAAAAATGTAGTTCTTATTCCAATGTGAACAGCCTGAGATACGGTGAAAAGATATGTAAATGCCTCTGGGTAGCCCAAAAATAGTAACCAACTTTACATGGCTGCATGTGAAACATCATGCAAGGTTTCGGGGGGATATTTACAGGGGGTCACGTCCAACTTTTAAAAGTGGTTTCGGGAAAAATTTTTAATGAAGTCGGCCATTAGGAATCCGGTAAGAATATGTTTCGGCGCAATGTGAAAATGAGCGAGTGTGAGCTATGCATCACCTGCCTGCTTCCTCGCACACGATCGGACTCACCCTCTAGCCTCGTCCATACGAACTATGTTTGGACTAAAACCTTTTCTTGGAAAGCACTTTCCTGTGATTCAGATCGTTTATTATCATCTAGGTGTCATGCTTCCCAGGATAGCCTGGCTCAACCATCAAACCTGTCCATGCTGGGATTAATGTCTATCTGAGATGGGGAACCTGGTTGTTCCGACTGAGTGAGATTTCCTGGGATTCTAGTAGCCATTTGGATGCATTGTCAAAGACTGTCCTTCAGGCCAGTGTTTCCCAAACGGTGTGCCGCGGCACACTGGTGGGTCGCGGCACACTGGTGGGTCGCCAGTAAGGCTTAAGTGTGCCGTGAGATTTCAGAGTTGACACAAAATCTACAAAACTAAAATGAATAAATAAAATTTTAAACAAGAGGGAACGCCATCTTTCAGTAGAAAACGAGCTGAGTAGCACTATCACGCCTCGTATCAAACTGCTGTGTTCAGCGAAGCAAGCACAAGTTTCCCATTGAAAGTAAGTGAATGGCTAGGTGTGCCGTGGAAAGTTTAAGCGTCCTTATGTGTGCTGCAAATTAAAGAAGATTGGGAACCACTGCTTTAGGCTACCCCACAGTACACCTTAAACAGTGAAGACCAGCAGTACGATTGAAGATAAATTTGATTGACATGCTTTTTGGTGAGTGCTGTACTTGGCAGTTTGCTCTATGATGCTCATAGAGCAAACTGATGGTCAACATGAACATAGCTTCTTGATGGTCGAAAACGTCATGCAATAGAAGCAACTGTCGTTCAGTTTTTCTTGCAGAGGGAAATGGACCGTCAAGCAAAGACTGCCCTCATGAGGTTTTCCTCCTCGATACCGTCAGCGACTGACTTGGATGAAAGAGCGGAACGATACGCGGTGAACAAGGATTACGAGAAATTGTGTGGGGTTGACAGAAAGGCCAATTTCCGCATGACGAATGCGACTTTTCAGGTTATTTATCTATCGAAATAGTTTGGAGTGCTTACGCATCTTCCGTTCAAATCGCACGAGCAATCTTTCACAAGAAATCGAGGCATAGTGAAAACAGGAAAAGAGTTGGACTCGCTTATCCTACATACGCGTTTTGACTGAGGCCTAGACCTGGGACAACCCCAGAACAGCCCTATCTCTGGGTACCTTTATTTCTTTCGGACTGTTCATAAGGATTGAAATTTTTTAGTTTTAAAAGGGACACCCTTTCGAAATATATTCATTTATCAATTTCGGCTCTTGATGCCTCTATTGTAAGCAAAATCCTTTGCGGTCATTGAAGAAAATGGATCCGATTAACAATTCGGGAATGTGAAAATCTTTACTACCTAGAATGGGGAGGTTTTTTTTTTCAAAATTTCATTCTCAGAATGAAGTTTTGCTGAAACCTCAATGGGAGGGAGTTCCCGCCTCTCATGCGTGTTGGTGGTTTCATTTCCCATTAAGCTTACCTTCTTAGAAGAATGTTTATTGCCAGCTCAATCGTTACTAAGTGCGAGGGTTTTTTGGAAGAACATAACTTTTTAAGTTGCGATGCTGGAGACCTTATACACAGATGTTGGGGATGATTCTCTCTGCCTCTCTTTCCGATGTTATTCCCGAGGGCAACGACGCGCTCGGCTGTCGGGTCGTTTCCCTAAAATGTGAGACGGTGAAACGGGCTCCGTCCCGCCATCTGTGTGCTTAGTTTCATGCGTCGGTGAGACGCAGAGGACGATGATAGATTTTCTTTCCAGGGTGTTTCAAAAGTCCTGGAGCCCGTTCCTCGCCTCTGCTAAACTTAAATCTTAGTCTAAAGGGTCAGGGCGAAGAATCGACTTTTTGCTTTTAGACTGCTTTTAGATTTAGATTTATATTTAGATTTAAGTTTAAGTGTAGCTGAAGCGAGGAACAAGTCCCTGATCTATTTTGAGGTAAAAAGGCTAGGGTGCGATTTATTCTATCAAAACGCAAAGTTTGTATATAACAATTAACCCATTGCACTACACTTGTACATGTCCGCCCGTAGTGTCGCGATCCCCCTGCCACCTACTCTAGTGCTACGGGAGACATAGACAAGCATTGTAGGGGTTATGCGATCGTCTGTGCTTCGGATGCGATTCCTCATCCTTCGATTCTGCTCTCCCTGGCTGTGTAAACAAGGCTCTTCACGAACCCCCACGCAAAAAGTCTAGTGGAGTGAGATGAGGAAACGCGGTGCTCATGGTCTGTTTCCTCCACGACCAATCGCAACGAAGTAGGGTGGCGCCCCTCCATCCTCTTGGATATTGGAGAGGTGACTCGTTGAATATGCATTCAGATAATCACGGACATAGTCAAGGGCCTTTCTTCCAACTTCCAAGTCGCATCTTTATTCTTTTCCTCCACTTCGACTCTGATGATGGCTGATGTGGTGTTTTCTTATGTTGGTGCCTATATATTTTTGTAGGCCTGTGAAGGATGGAAGAAATGATTGAAACACAGAAATAGGTGCTTTTGGAACATTCTGTATTTCAAGTTACTCTCAGGGCAACCCTCTTATGAGGTATGCACAGGGTGATCTAAAAAAAAAATACCTAGTACACTCGTGCGCTAATTTAAAAAATAAGCGCATGCGTTTCTTGGGATTTTTAGTTCACCTTGTATTTCAGTGACGCTATGAAGTCAAGTAAACGCAGAATTATGCTTCAAGACGATGGAAGAGACTGCTCAATTCCAATAACTGGAACTAACTCTGATTCCTTATAAAAATTAGTTTTATCATTGGAAACTTTGATATTAAGCGGACTGCTCTGAAATCAGTAACCGTGTATGATGACGTCGGGAATTGGGCGCCATCCCAATGGGAGACAGACAGAGGGGAGGCCTCCAACGCAGTCTCGGGAACGTTTCAAAATGCCGAACCGTTAACCGAAAGCAGCATTATCGAATGCTGGAAATGCCGACATGTCAAATGGACGAAATAAATTATGCGTAATCATATTTCATCGAAGCGAAACCATTTCGATGGAGGCTGATTTCCGTTGAAGGGTCGAAGTGCAGGAGGGAAAAAAGTATTTCTGTCAACAGGGTGCTTTAAGCTGCATAGAAAAATATCAACATTGGAATCATACGTTTCGTTGCACAGTTCAGGAAGTAAATGACTTCGTCATATCTGAAAGTCTAGAATTTGTTGCGTACATTTTAGATGGAAAATGATAAGAAAGCCCGAGAGAGAGAGAGAAGACCCTGGGATACTCAGGCACGTGTTGTTAACAGAAATCTTATTTTTTCCTCATAAATGTCGGTCGTATCCAACTTGAAAGTAGCTTGCTGAATGACGGTGCGCGATATACAGGGTGACCCTGACCCAGACCCAGACATGATTGAAAGTTGCAGCGCACAGTAGTGCTAGTTCAGTAAACAACCAGAGCACAGCTGAGGGGGAGCATGCAGCCAAAGTGAGCAAAAAACTGCTATTTTTTTCGCCCTTGTGGCGCCTTGTGGCGACATTTTGATTCCCAGACGCTTCTATTAATAAATCCTTCGATGCGTGATCGCGTTCGCTTAAATGTGCTTCGACGTCTTGTCCATTCGTCGCCATATATTTCAATATTCCGGTAGTCTCAATCTACTTATTGGGTGACATGCACCAGATTCGTTTTAACTTTAACTGATTCCCATAGGGGACCATTGTGAGATCAAATAAGTTTAGCTTAAACGGATCCAGTGCATGTCACCCATCGTGTCTCCCGGTACGGGCGTAAGGCAACGAGTCATGATCCTCTGTAGTGACGTGAAAGTCGCTCTTGAGTCCAAATTTGCAAAGAATTTGTGATTTAGCTGGACACCAATCAAACTCGAATTAAAATAAGCGATAATCGCGATTCTTAAATACTGTTTCGATACGACTGTTCTCGTATTTAGCACCTCAAATATTTTAAACGTAATTCAACTAATATTGGAATACGATTGGCTTTATCTCTCGATGAACCTTTTCCTTCGTTCAGCGTAAAATCGCCCAGAACGTGATTGAAGATGGAGCTGACCTGACCTTCGTCTCATGGTCTGAGATCTGTTTTTTTTTTCAGTCGGCTGCATTGTTTGGCACGGCAATCTTACTATGGGTCATCCCATCCAAGTAGTGACAAGATGCTCGAATTTTGTCATCCTTTATTTTATCCCTATCAATTTTAGGCAATGGTATAAAGCAGATCCATTTTAGTTTCAAAATATTTTTAAAATCAAGTCACGCTGGAATGACTCCTATTCTTCAGCGTGCTTTCCTAAGTTTATATGTAGTTGTCCTGTTAGAAAGCGAATGCAGTGGCTTCTCGACTTCGAGACGAAATGTTATCCATTCTTGTTCTCTCCCTCCTCGGATTTGCAATCAAGAAGCTCTGATGGGCAGGAATGAGCCTGGATCGAAGGTTACACGATAGAAATGAGTCTTGTAATTAGAATGGCTCATTCGATTTGATGATGATTCTCCCCGCATTATAAGGTAAAACACAAAACTCGAACACCTGAAGGATAAGTCGAACGCACACATCTATCTCGAAAGCTTTCGTAAGAAGAAAAAAAAAACCTGACAGCTCTGTATCAGGTATTCCTTCGTTTGTTCCGTCCAGACCACTTTCCTCTCGTTCTACCTCCTCCCATTCAACCTTTTCCGCCTCAAATTCAGGGGCCTTTCCAGCCCCTCATGAGTCTCTTCTACTTCTTCCATCCTCTAAAATTATCATTCGAGCGAGTTCCCATACCTGTTTCGCCCTACTTTTCCCCCACGAGTTTTGCGCTAACCCTTTTCCTCTCTCGTTAAGTCGAAACTAATCGGTTCTACGTGTGCTTCGGCCGTAAAGGCCCTGTTACACTTGGCGAGTACTCGCTAGGGCCTTTCACTTAGTGTAAAATCCCACTCGCTACCACTCACTAGGGCCACTCGCTTAGTGTAACACTCCTTACTAGCGAGTACTTGCCTGAAGTTTGAAATCTTTCAAACTCGTAGCGAGTGAGGTGTTAAACTAAGCGAGTGGCTCTAGCGAGTACTCGCTAACGAGTGGTAGCGAGTGGGATTTTACACTAATTTAATGACCCTAGCGAGTACTCGTCAAGTGTAACAGGACCTTAACACCTGGAAAGAGTTAAAAGGGACGTGGTTTTGGTGTGATCGAAATGTACTCCTACTAATAGTCGTTCCATTTCATTGGTGATGTGGGCGCGGCCGCCGAATGGTATTACGTGTTCTCCGTGTACGAAAAAGGGCCCTACTATATGTACTGACTCCAATTAGATGAGTACCGGTGAGATTCGGAAGGACTTCCGGTCCGTGGGAGGTGTCTTGGAGGTGGGAGGTGTCCGGTAGGGGGTGGCTCCTCCGCCACTCCTCGGTGAGGTCCGCCGCTAAGCCCACAGTGACAATAGTTCAAGTACTTACCCTCCCCCCTCCCCCATTTCTTGCATACTGGTGAAGACATTGTGTGCTCGTGCGGAAAATCGAAAAGCATTGGTTTTATTTTCAGCATCTTGCTAAAAATATGAGAACACGATCGTGTTACTGAAATATTGTTTTCCTGGTTGTAATTAAAAAGGGAGGAGAACTGAAGCAATAGCCAGTCATTATCTCGATTACTTCAACCTGCACTCCTGTACAAGTGTGTCCCATTTTCCTGCTGATTTAGCTTCAAGGTTCAAAGGGAAGATGATGCCCCTCTTCTCATGCCTTCCAACGACCGGCTAAAAAAAGAACGGGGAGGGGGTCGGAGGTACGAAAACACTTGATGGGACCCTTGCAGTTATATACCTCATATACGGTATATCTAATCTGTCGGCCTTTACGATCGAAAATCATCTCATGCCGAATCACGTCTACTGTCTCCATGGTGAAGTGGCGGCAGTCCGCCACTTCACCACAACATCGCCCTCCTTTTTTGTTTGAGCGGCACCGCCTCCCCGTTTTCCTAAGAGCTTCCGTTCCGACAAGAGGATGAGATGGCGTTTCAAGGTGAAAATTCAATCGCTTCTGGGCAATCGCAGGGATGAATCATCACCACCTATCCCCGATTCCGACTTTCGAGTAGAAAATGCATCATCTTCTCAGATACTGTTGAGTGTGATTTCCGAGTCAATTCGTCTGAGTTTTCTCCCTGAAATGAAAGCATGAAAGAAAAAGCATTTGCGCCGTCTGTATATTCAGCCGATTCCGGAACGTATACGACCTCAGCATGCATGAGTCACTGTGAGAGTTGTCGAGTAGAAATCGTCGAGTGGCTTCCGGTATATTGAAAAGGGTACTCTGCGTCAAGAATGGAGGAAATACGAGATTTGAGGCACTCGATCTGGTTTTCATAGGAGTCTCTACTCCGAAAAAAGCCTGTCACTTTCGAGCCAAATGTGCGACCATTGCGCTCGAAGCAGTTTCTCGACAAGTTCGACAAGTACTTGCTCGATGTCTAGCAGCAATACACGTCTCCTTGTACGATGGGGCACACAGATGTTTGCAGTTTGCATGAGACTCTTGGAAAGAGATAGGCATGAACGGTTTATGTACCCCCCCCCCCCCCCCTAAATGTTAGATCCGTGTCGGGAATGACTAAAAGAGACTTATGGCGTAGGCGTTGTGGATAAGATACCGAATTCATTGACGTAGCTAGAGTGAGAGTGGGTATAATGGAAAGGTGGAATCGCAGGCGCATCGGGAGGAAGACCGTATGGCCTTGATTGATCGATTCTCGTGGTCGCTTCCACGCTCCTGGCACCTGTTCGCAGATCATCCTCAGTCCCATTACGCCTCGCGTCTCGATTGGGAAAGAAAGGGGACTCGAATGCCTCCATAGATTTCTTTTATCCAAAATGCGATTCATTCCCTTCAATTAAATGGCGTAACTGATGTTACGAGATCAGCAATAGAGACCGTGAAGTGGAATCACTTTTTGGCCTCGCCCCGCCTTTTCGAGAACTTCGTAGCTTAAGCATGCAATTTTCCATAGGGAAACTTGAAGAGGAAATGAAGTCTTGAGATCCTTTCGCGTCTTTATGTGGTAGTCCATTATCCCTCGAGAGAGAGAGAGCTGAATGAAGTGCTCTGATGGCCGGGGATCCAGTCTTGTGCTCTTTTTATTTTCAGGTCGGTTTCTTAACGCCCACGACAGAAAATCTATCTGTCTGCCCGGGGTACTCCTGTTGTGGAGCCCATTGTAGGAGTCTGTGACTTAGGAACAGAAATAAAAGTATTAATTCTGGATCGGGTTACAATGCATGCACTACATGTATACATTCGAGAGCAAAGAGATATGGTCAAAGATGTTCTGGACGAAGATGAGAAATCGATCAACGAAGAGCGGAAATAATATCAAGAGTCGCAGAGGAAACCCTTGCCCGATTTATTTCACCCCCTATCAGATGATGTTCGATATGCAAGAACTGAGGATGCATTCTGTTCTCTGTCTCGTGAACACAGGATCGAGATCCTGGCAAAGCTGTGCACAACAGCCGGGGGAGCTCTGGAGCCTCACGTTTCCGCTCTCATTCACGAATTCCTCTCTTCGATGGACTCCCAGGAACCCACGGCATTGCTTCATCTTAGTTCCCAGTTGGCGGGGGATCAGCGAGCCCAGGAAGCCATGGACCGGGCTCGGGTTCGAAAACCCTCGTCTCTCCTCGATGCCCTTGCTTCTGTAAGTCATTTCCCGATGCTCGCTAAGTCCTATTCGTTCAACCCTTTAAAATTATTTAAATTAACAATTGCAATTCTGGAAGTACGAGTGTAGACTCGATGGCAGATATTCTTGGCTTCCGATTAAATTAACAGGATGGGATTATATTACGGATTTGATCCGGAATGACCTCATCTGTACTAGCAGACGAGATCAGGTTTGTATTTTCGGCAAGGAAAAGGGGAGGAAAATGATCTAGGCGTTGCAGTGCAATGAATATCACTGATATCGTGGCCAAGGCGGTCTTAGGACACGAAGAAACGGAAAAGAATCGCAATAGTTGTATGCAATGATTTGATCATTGATCATTTTTCACGTTCGGCTTACTTGGTTCATGTTGCCAGTTACGCCAATCATTAGATCAGAACTGCTAAATCAGATGAAGCCCATTGCATCCGAGGAATGTGACTTGGGGGATTTTCAACATTTCTTAGTTAGCCAATATGGGAGAAGAGTTTTACTCTGACGTAAATCCAGCAAGATTGAAAATTCTTGAACTCACTGTATCTAAGATAGTGATGCATTACCTTCATATGATATCACACTGAGTCCTTGACATGCAAAAGGAGTCTCTGAAATATGAATCAGGCTATTCAACTGAAGAATTTTAACCTTCTGGAAACATTTGAGGTAAGTGAGCAAGAAGAGATAGCATGAGTTATCACACTAAGAGCTTCACATAATATGATGCAATATGATAAGCCAGCAAGTGCAAGAGACTCTTGCCCCATGAATCACTCTAGAGCCCTAGCTGCCCCCCCCCCCCCCTCTCTGTAACTTCATTTACCATTGGGGATACTAAAGTTATTTCTTGATGTTCATTTGTGGAGTGAGACTGGATTGATATTGGCACATATCAGCCATATGATTTGTCTCATCAATGTTCCATTCAACTAACCAGGTCCAAAATCTAAGGCTCAATGCAGTCACACTTAGCCTCATCCTGGTTGCTTATAAATTGAAATTTCAAGTTATATTGAACAATCTCATCCCACAACCCAGAATACAAAATAATCCCATATTACTAGGAATAATCCTGAGTTACTGGTAATTGGAATAGATCAAAGTTAATTTTAAGCCAAATATGTCAGCTAATAAGGATTTTCAGTACATCAGCACACCTTCCAAATGCATACAAAGCAAAAGCCTCACATTAGTTTTACTTCAATTTATATGTAGAGGCCATTTCGAGATATCCTTTTGAGAATGTAATTGGACCTCATGAAAAACCTCCCCTCCTAATCAAATTGGTTCATCTCTAGATTCTTCCATTTGTGAATGAGAAAAACATGGAGGAGGTGAGTGGGAAGTTGGTGGGGATTCTTCGTGGGCATGGAGGACTTTTAACAAAGTTCAATTGTGCATGGGTCATTCAGGTTCTGGTCTCCCTCTTGCCGAAGGTAAGTTGGTCAAGAATTTTCTCACTCATTGACTATACTGGACTAACACTATATATACTGGACTAACAGACTGGAGTTTTGACTTGAAATTGTGTAGCAAACAGTTGAACCATACACTGGGAAGATCCTGGCAGCATTGGTACACAACCTGCATGACCGTAATGCTGTTCTTCGTACTGTCATGGCCAAGACCATAGGACATATCATGAAGGCTGCTAAGGACTCCAGCTTCCAGAAATTGGGGGAGAAGATCACCTCTTGGTACCTGGATAAAGATGGTACTTTCTCCTGATTGTCCAACATCTCTAGTTTGTGTCCTCATGAACTGAGCTGAAATGAATGATGTGTGTTTCAGATGAAGAAACTCTTGTCATGTGTGGGCTGGTGGTGCACTATATCCAAGAGCATAGTGCAGACAGAGGCAGTAGTCACTACATCTGGTCACTGCCATTGGCCTTTCTAGCCATGCATGCCAAACCACCTTCTCTGGGTAATTATTTCAAGCATTGCCAGATAGTCCATTTTGCATTTGCCATTTGACTTACATCTTTGTCAATTCTCCAAACTCAGAGTCAAAGACTGAAGCTAAGAATAGTTGTGATGTTTGGAGGGAAGTCTGGAATGAAGGAACACCAGGAACAGAGATTGGCCTGAAACTGTATGCAACTGAGATCGTTGACCTTATTGAGAAATTCTTCTCATCACAATCATGGATGAAAAAGGCCCAGGTAATTTCAGATGCACTCATACTGAGCATCCATGAATCATTTCTTCCTTATAAGTGTTATAGTGTTGAGGATTTCAATGCAGGCCGGGAGAGCCCTGAGTTCCTTGCTTTTACTTCGAGATCATCTGAATGATTCACAACTCAAGAAGATATCTGGGCTTCTGATGGAATCCCTTAGTGGAAAGACTTGGGATGGAAAAGAGGCAATACTTGAAGCCACAAAGGAGTTCTGCTCACATGCCACTGGGAAGAAGTATGTTTTCGTATAAAGGAAACTTATTACAGACATAGTATTTGTGTCAGTCAACAGTATCATATCACTCTTTTATAGGGAGGAGTTGAGGAGAGAGCTGCAACTTGGAGAGTTGGTGGATGGAATGCTGAAAGAATGCCGCAAAAATGTGAACATGTCTTACAAGCAGCATTGTCTTACACACACAGCTGTGGCACTGGCTGCCTGTGGAAGTGACAAGTTTTCAGCCTTCAAAGAATTGATGTCTCCCATCTTATCTCAGGTAAAACATAGCAGATTATAGAAATAAGTCACCTCATATTTATGTGGTTATAGTTCTTTAATCCTTGTTCATGAAAATGCTGATGCTAATCAAGGTTAACCTTTATTAGGGCCAAATGAGGGAAAGCAACAGAATGGAAGAAAAGGGAGAGGAGGAGAATGATCTGGAAGGAAGCATAGCAGAGCGGGAAAACCTCCTTGTCTGTGCCTGGGTTGCTATAGGCAAGGCATGGCTCCCTACATCTCAAGGTTTGTCTCTGCCCCATCTTACTTCATCTTACCTTATTTAACAAATACTTGCATGTGCCATGCAGAGAAAATATTGAATATCAAATGGTTGCCCATGAAAGTTACTCCATTGCACACATATTAAAGTAAGTGGAATTTAAATCATAAGCACTAAAAGCCAATTGTCAGACCCATTTTGCATTCATAGAAGAAAAAGTTTGTGTACCTAGTCTAAGGTGATTTCTACAAGGATTTCATGTTAATCATATTACTGAAGCAATTGTTTAAATGGTGGGTAAATGGCCCATAAATGGAAGATCAATACTTACCACTACTTTAGACTGATTTTAGTAAAACAGGCTTGTGGTTTCACAGTCCAATCAGCAGCTCAGCTGCTCACTCCTTAATCCTTTGAGGAGTGGGTTTTTTTAATGCCTAGATCACCCATAGTGAATACATGGAGGGCAGGAGCATGTCAGCCCATATATATACAGGCATACTCGTCAAAGGGTTAATGTAAATCTTTGCAGGCACAGAAACCACTGAATGTGACACCCTGTCAGGAGATCTTTTATCTGTAGGTCATGATGAACATCGTACCTTGGCTTATTTAGGGAAACAGTCTAGGAATCAAGATGGCTATTAATGTCTGACTATCCATTATCTTCCCTCTATAAGGTTCATGTTTTATTTTCCTTAATAATTGTGAGACTTGCATCCTTTCTTCTGTCTCACCTCATAGAGGAATGCATAAAACTATTCCTGAGGGATGGGAGACTATCCTGACATTGGTTGCCTTCAGAAACTCAGACTTGTGAGACATTATATGGGCATTCAAAAAGGCTGACTGTTGGCACTGTTGTGTGATATGTTCATTTGGAAAATCAAACACAAGCCATTTGAGTATGCAGCAAAAGAGTTGGTTACGGACCTCATACAAATTAATCTAAAAGTGAACAGTTTAGGGAATTCTCTTGAAACAAACTATCTGGTCACAAGAATCTAATTACAAGAATACAAAAATAATGAGCTGATAAATAAGGTGCACAACTGCCTTTTGCTCCTTTGATCTATTGTAACAATCTTGGCATATGGTGCACAGGTCCAAATGCACAAAAACATGAAAGGAAAATGAATCAAGGGACTCATTGTCGCATGCAGAGGTCTATCTCACTGATTTGCTTAAAGCAGATGATGCTACTCATAGGGTGATGGTTTGGAGCAGAAAAGGATGCTCAATGAAATTAATGACTTATTTTATGACATGGTGAGTATATCTCTACCCTACACGGGTTGCGCTGGGTTTCTTGCCCCGGGACCCTCAGGTCTGATATGGAAAGGTCCCCTGATAAAGGGCGTTACTTTCCAAGTGAAGCACAAGAGAAACTTGAAGGTTCCCCAAAAGTAAAAGTCCAGCAATCCATTTGTATTTGCCAACTTAACATAACCAAGCAGTATGATATTCAATCCAGCAGTCTTAAGCCTTCTGCCTGTGCGTCCCAGGAGTCCCAGGACGCCCGGGATGCATGGGAAGGAGGCCAGGCCAAGAATATTAGTGCAACCCATGCTGCAGCAAGGATCATCAGATTTGGTAGTTGTCAAAAGCACCCTTTAACTACTCAAATAGTTATATGACTTCAGACGTTATTACCCTAATTTGTGGGTACTTTACTAGGTTTACAAAATGTTTCTACTGCTATGGTTTGGTTCAACTTTTCCTCAGTATCATTCCTGGGTTACTATATTTTTTATGAAGTTGAAATACAGTAGAACTCAGTTATAACGTCATCGAAGGGACCAGGGAAAAATCATCGTTATAACCGAGGTTGCCTTTATTGACATTCCATTTTCCTGTTTTCAAAATTGATGCTATATAACGTTACAACTCCAGTATGCATCGATAATACCACACTAGCTTCAGTTTCAGGATTGACCCGCTAACCGTAATGTTCCCACTTCTTTGGACCTTGAACTACTTCATACTTTAGCAAGGCCTCGTTGACGTCATCTCGATAGATCTACGAAGTTTCTTGTTTTGTGATATGCACGAATGAAGTTGTCACGATTTTCCCAAATTGTGGAAACAGGCGAACAGATGTCCATGTTTTTCGAGTGGGACTTCGTCTTTACTTCGAGCACTTTCTAATAAATTAATCATGCACACTTTCCTTTCAATCGTGAAAGGCTTGCCTCTCTCGCTTTCCATTGGCCATGTTGCGAACTAGAAATGTAATGGCGACTGAAGATAAGGTGATCTTGTTGGTTAATGGGGATTATCCCTCCCTCACCCTCCTCCAGTCACACCCACACGACTCCCAAGGAATGCCGATTCCAGGAAAGATAACGTTATGGCTAGCCAACGCTCGTTTTTCCTATGGTGGGAATTCCAGTTAAGAATGACGGATTAGGGACATCAACGTGGTCAATTTCGTCAGTGGGACCTTCAACGGACGTCGTTATAACCGAGGTTCTCGCTATAACCGAGGTAAAATGTAACGTGCCTTATGGCTCTACGCCGGGACCTGGCGCCTTTCGTCGTTATAACTGAGGTCGACTGTATTCGCAATGAAACATTTCTACAGGGGAACAATCTTCCACTGTGGGTACATTAAAAGAAACTTTTACTTGCTACTCAACTGATTACCTGACAATGTGTCATGTTATGTCATTGCTAATTATAGCTCTACGCATAAAGTTGGGTAATGGCAGCCTCCCTCTACCCAATAGATTTCTTCTCTTTTTTTTCTTGGCAGAGTTAGTGACTACAAATTCTTATTGTTTTTTTTTTTTTGCCCTTCTCCATTTCTCCAATAAATTGTTTTCATTTGTCTAGTCTCTTCAAGGCAATATTACATCATGCTTCACCTTGGCCCACCATAGCCGAAATGCTTAGAGATAAAGTCTTGCAAAACCTGTTGTAGCTGACAGGATCAGAAAAGGGATTAGGTTATGTGGGTAGCCAGTAGAAGCAAAATTGAGCAGTGAAATCCTGACTCGTATCATAACCAACTCATTATCCTCTGACTCAAAAAAAATCCAAAGAAATAAAGCCAAATATTAATTGGAATTTCCATTTATTTTCCATTTGATTCTGAATATTTCCATTCCCATGGAGACAATCCAGTTCATATGATAGAGAACCCAGGCAGAGATTGAGTCTCTTCCTTGGATCTAAAATATGCTTAAGTCCCATGCACCATCAACTGCCTGGACTCTTTTTTTCCCATGCAAACACTTCACTTCCCACTTTCCTTCCCTGTCCCTGCACTAGGAGTGCTTCGTAAGAGACGATGTGGGGGGGGGGCTAGGCTTATGGTATGACAACTCTCATTAAAGGTGATTTATTTATGCATCCAGTTGGAAGCATGGTAAGTCACTCAGTGGTCCCTTGAAATATAGATATTACTGAGTTTCGTTTAAAATGATCTCTTGATGGTACGATCTAAAATTCTATTGTCATTGAATGTAAGTAGGGCACATCCAATACTCTTCCAACGTGTGTGGCTTTTTTTCCCCCAGACAATCAGTATTTGTCATACCAGGACAATGATTATTCTGTTTCAGGTGCAGGAGAAGACTTGCAGTGGATTCTGGAGGAAATTAAAAATTCATTGGGGAAAAGTTCAGGAAAAATTGTTGGAGTGATGAGGACAACTCTATCCACCCTAATTCTTAATTCGCTCCAGGCTAAGGAATTGAGTGCATTTGATCAAGCTGCCTCTCTTCTCACTGAAGTCGTCTCATCGTTGACGTCGCATTTGCGTACGCCTATTTTTTTATATTTTAAATAGCTTTCTGCTGGAAACAAAACAGTCCAATTATCTGCAAATTATTTTTCTCTTTCAGCATCCAAATCACATGATACTCTAATGGAGACAATACAGAAACGGCTTAATGGTATGCTGAACTCGAAAATTTATTTTCCCTCTTTAATATTGTACGACAGGGCGGCGACTGAACAGCTTTTTTTTTATGCCCTTTTCATTCAGAGTTGGAAGATGCTGAAGTGAAGTTAAAGCTTGAGGCAGCACTCCAACCCCTACTCCAGGGATAGTCTAAGTGATCCACTTGTGATACCCTTCAGGTGAGAATACAACATGACGTCACTATACTACCAGAATCTTGCATAAGTACCTGAGAAAACTTTAAAATCAAACTGACAGTCTTTTTAGATTTCTAATATGGGTCTGGTTTCGTGGAAGATTTGACTTGGTGATTATAAATAGTATATTATGCACCGTAAGCTACCTGAAATATTATTATGCCAGATATTTAGTGACATCTTGTTGTCTCTTATAAGGTAAAGCACCATAAAATTATTTGTTTTTGCTTGTTGAGCTTATTGCTGCCTAGGTTTAGCCTTACCTGGGAGGACGTCATGGACTTCTGTGCACTTATTATGCATACCTGGTCTAGGTGTCCCTGGTGAAATTCTTATCGATTTTGAGTCGTTAATAATTAGCTGGTATCAGATAAGTGGCTCCCCTTGAGCTTAGTTTTTTCATCCATGACGCGTAGATTTTGCTATAGCAAGAGGGGTGAGGAAACTGAAACCCTTCCAACTCTGGTTTTTATTTTCTGAACTCTCAGGTCAAAATGCATCTACAGGCTATGATTATAGCAGACTGGAAAATTTTACACGCAATACAACCCGGGCGTGCCCGGCAGTAAAAAAGTAACAGTTTACAACAGTTTACAACAGAAAAGAATCGAGTCCATATATATATATATATATATATATATATATATGGACTCGATTCTTTTCTGTTTATTTCAGGCATCATTGATCTATGAAACTCTTGGGGGACTAGCCAGTGTTGGATGCTTCAGTTATGAAGCGTAGTTCTGTAATATCAGATGACTGATATCCCAATAATATGCTGATGAAGTTCTGATAACAAATACCTGATGGGGCATCCACACTATCTACATATTTCTTTACTATGGATCTTCACGCAAGCTTATACCTAGGTTCATATTAGACCTCCTTGCCTAGCTCCACATATTGTACGGCATCTCCTCTCCCTAGCTCTTCCCATCTCTTATTAGAAAAGAAAATACGCAACAATCATGGAAAGGTGGGGACTCGTAGGAACACTAATAGCTAATATCGACCGATATCCGCTACTATTAATACTGATAAAATATTTCTTACAGTCTTTATGAAGAAGCTCCACACATTCTTTCAGCCACTGTAATTTTTCTCTTCATTATATTTGCAGATATGAGTGTGCTTACTGCCGTCCCCATCAGAACTGCTTGTGAAAGAGGGAAAAAAGAGAGAGATATTCATTCTTTGCTCAGTCTGTGCATGCCCAGATGTTCTTCAATATGAATTTGTTATATACGTTTTGTGCCTGTCCTCTTTCACCACAGAGTGCCAAAATGCATGTTGTTGCATTATTCTCTGTTGCCTTTTCGTTTTAGTTTGAATAAAGTCACTTCTTCCCATGGGAATCGTCTGACGTATTTTCGTGGAATAAGGCTTCAACTGGAGTAGGTTTCTGGTCTCCATTTAAGTAGTTCTCATCGTCACCATCCCCAGCATAAAATTGAACTCATTCACATTCTGACGGCCAAATGAATGGCAAGGCTTGCTTTCATAGTGTTTTTCTAAGGAAATACATTTTTCGGTCGCTGTACTTGAACTTTCATTTCTGAATGAAGTGAAAGTTATTTCAGCAGAAACTGGGAAGGGCATTCACTCTATTGAAACCACGAGGAAGCCGCCTGTCCATCAAAGACAGGAAAAGGGAAAGAAAAAGGATAACCGAATAATGTCGATCTGGATGGGAAAGAGGAAGAAAAAGAGGGTGGTAGGAAGAAAAAAGCTGTCAGTTCCCCTGATTCCCATCACTCGTTCTGGGGGCTGATCGACGTCTTGACAAGGAAAGTGAAAGTAGTTCCCCTCTCATTACGAAGACCGTGAAAGCCGCCTTCATCGATTTCCTAGCAGTCATTGCGATTATCGCGGTTATCACAGCCAAACACCCAAATGGGCATTGTGTCACGAGATTTCCCCTCCACCATTGATTTTTTGCATGCCGGGGACGAGGAAGATTATTCTCATTCACCTTTTTCCCTCAGCTTATTGAGGACCTGGATCGATCCCGCCACTTCCTCAAGACAATCCTTAGATGGTCTGCTGGAAGAAAACATTTTTTCCGCTCCTCCAGCTTCTTTCTCTTATCAGACTCTTAGCTGTGCTCGCCATTGTGTCTGAAGGGAAGAAAAGCAGAAAAGAGCTCACAACTCGTTCTATCTCCCACGAGGGTCCAAAATATACGTTGCCGCCTTTTTTTTAGGTTCAGTCGGACGAAAGAGAAGACAAAACGAAGACGCGTTCATGTAGAGAAAGGAGAAGAGGATGGATGGAGAGGGGAAGACGAACGGAATGACCCTGTTGCTGTGAATCATTTGTCTTTTCTTCCTTCCCCTCGGAATGGGAACTGGCATCGCGGGTCGTATTGGGTCTCACTCTATCTCTTCCCATATTAGTAGAAGAGGATGGACTTCGCATTCCCTTCTTCGCGCTTTACTGCTTGTTCCTTCATCTTCCAATCCGGAGACGGCCGATTTCCATGTGCGGAACCACGCTTCTTTTTCACCCTCTTTCATTTCTCTCGCCTCTTTCATTTCTCCATTACTTTCGCATGGAGACGCCGAACATTGAAAAAAAAAAAAACAAAAGCAGACGGGAGAATAGAGGTCTGTCTCTTTTGGGAAGCGAGTCGTAGAAACATGGATATAGAAGACTCCCTGGAGGCAACACCGGGTAAATCCCCTTCCTGTCAATCTCCACCACTCTTCCATTTTCTTCTCTTTCTCTCCTCTCCTTATCTCTCGTCTTCTCTGCAGATAAGTCACGCGAACTTCCCTTCCTCTTTTTTGCTTCTTCTCATTCGTGAGTGTCGTGACCCTCTTGGAGCGTTCTCCACGTTATGATGCCCCGTATGAACGTGCAGAGAGGAGCCACAAAAGAGGCTAGATTGGTTTTGTGGGGAAGATGGAAGTTGAAGGAGGAGATAGGGGGCAATCCCTCGAGACGAGAGGGCTTGGAAAAGAATTCCAATCACGGATAAGGCCAAGGGGAAAGGGGAAGCAAGATGTCCCTCGAGACCAGGCCACGCAAGGCCATGGCGTTAAAAAAACGGTTAAACCTTCGAGGACATGGCCCATCTCAGGTACTAAATTTCCACACCCCCGAGTTTGTATTAATTCAATCAGCTGACCAGTGTTATATCAAGGTAATTGGATCATCAGATCGGTTGAAGGAATCAAGTGTTTGCCGTAGGTCAACTTGTGGATAGGGGAGGGGGCGAGGAAGGGATTAAGAAGGGGGAAGGAAAGGAGATGGGAATCGCTATCCGGACAAATGCAGGGGGAAATTGATCTTCTTTCTGACCCGATTCTTCTTCCGCTCGGTGGGGATACCCCCATTTGAAACCGCCATCTGTCCAGATCGGTGATCTCGATGAAGGCCGTGACTGATGATTCGGTTCGATGGAGAGCTTTAGTGGCATCATTCGGATGCTGATTTTTCACTTGAGAGGATTGCAGACAAAATTAGGTTTCCCCTGATGTCTATCGGGATGTTTTTTGATGGAAAGAGCAGTCATATGGCAAACGATGTAACTCAAATAATTAACGGAAACACCTAAAATTCCGCCTATCATCTACTTGTTGGCGAAAACAAGATACACATAAACGGGGGAGAGAAAGAATAACCGCACTCTTTGGGTCGACCTACTATAGTCACCTTTCTCTTGATTGTTTTTTCCCCCATGTCGTGATTTGTAGCGAATTGCATGTAATTGGAAGGGTGTCGTAACCCTTGCTGTCACAAATTATTTTCTGTTCGTTTCTCTGGGTTCCTTTTGCATGATAATACACATCCTCCCACCCTGTATTCATATCAACCTCTAATTTCAATTTTGTCCAAGCGATTTTACCCATAATTAGACAAATAATTGGTTACCATGGTTACCATTTCGTGTGCTATGACTGGGTGAATCCTCTGCTTCAAGACAAGTGCCTCGGGAATGAATATACGAGTGAAATACGTACGTTCAGCATACGTTTGCGCTTTGCGAGTGCCACATTTCCCGTCGGACTCAAGGGCCGGCCGGCGTCGCAGGCTGCACATCACCGTCAGGTAGCGGTAACGCCACCAGGCATAATCAAATTGTATCGAAGGTCGGTGCCGGGACAGAGACCAATGAGATCTCCGTGTTGACGTCAGGCAAGCCTTCGAGCCTAGGAATTCGATCTCAATCCCAGTCGCTATTTATTCCCCCCGTGGGCTTCACTTCGGGGTAGTAACCCCGGATTTTTTTTTGCCATGGTTTCTCGATAATTGTTTCCTGTTTCCCTCCGGATCTCTCTTCCATGCATTCACGTCGCTCTCGCCCTCGATTTGCTTTGGCAGGAATTTCGGCCTTCTCGGATGGATGAACAAACTTTAGAATTTCAAAAGAATTAATGAACGAGAAGCTTGACGGGTTCAGCTATCCTCGACGACAACAGGTATTAGCCATGGATGCCTATTTACAATACTTTATTTCCGATTTTGTCTTTTCTTCGTCTTTTATTTTGATTTGTTCAAATCAAAACGTATAATGGTCGAGAGAAAACGGTTGATTACGCTTGTAATGTCTAGTATGTCTACGCTCTCCCATGGCTGTGGTAAATGGGCAAGGAAAAGGCAAGAGTTTTTCAGCTGTTTTTGCCTCAGTTCTAATTTAATAAGTGCTGGCGTGACGATGTACACATGCAAAGAAGCTGGAACAGACCCACGCGTTCATATATTATTCTCATTTAAGCGGAAGAAAAGTGGGCTGAAACGTGGCAACCCTAAGGACCCCATCAGCTAATGAACAATATGTAAACCCACTGTGTAAGCATGGGATCTGGAGAGATATGTCGGAGTTGAATAATTAGGAAAAGAGAGCATGGATATTTGTGCGCCGAAAGGGCCCTTAATCAAATGGAAAGCCCCCGGCGAGTCGTTGACGCCAATGCTCTTCTCACTCCAGCTTCTTTTTCCCTTGCTGTCTCGCCTTCCTTCCTTCGAGCGCTTCTTCTTCCGTTTCCGGCTTCCATCTTTCTTCCTTCCCTTTTTTAGCTTCGATTAAAGTCAGAGACCGTTTACAAGAGTTGGGCCATTCAGTGACTCAAGTGAAGCGTGACGTCTGTCTGGTGGGGAAAAAATCAGAATCGTCAAGAATAATGAGTTCCAGCGTTGCTTTGAACACGAATTTTATTACTCAATCTACGAAACGGGTGTACACAACAGTGAATGCTCGCCTCTTGTAACAAATGAATAAATATGCTCATTTCACTTCAATATCAATTGGGCGGTCAGATTTGGGAGCTCTTACGCGGTCAAAGATGTAATCAAAGATACTTTGCGCTCGATTTTGATACGTTCTTAGTAAAGAACGTTAGTTAATAGTATATAAATTGTCACAATAAGTCAAAGTACAAATTGTCACAAAAAAATGAAAGTTACTTTCTGAAGTTTTCTTACTTTGTCACTCTTTGATCGCGTAGGAGAACCCTTCCAATGAAAAACATCTAGATTTGTCATGGCATAAAGACGGCGCCCTGCGCCTACACCGATCACCCACAGAATTCTGACGTCAACCTCGAATTACGTCAAACATCGTCATGTCGTGGCCAGGTGAATCGTCAACACACGAAAGAGTATCACAGCCGCGGTGAATGGGATCCGAAAATCACAGATACGATACGGAGGGGAGGGTGAGGTCAGAGTCAGGTCACGAACACCGAAGACCACAACCAGGTCAAAGGTCACGGACACCGAGGACCATAGCCAGGGGCAGGATGACCACCAACGAAGGAGGATAGAGAGTGCTGGGGATGGACCCACTGCTCAAAGCCAGAGCTCGACAAGACAGGTCATCGCTCCTTAGCGACAGCAGTGAAACCCACCGTCCCTCCCGACCCTCCATGCACGTCGCCCTAGAAACGGAAATGTGGGAGATGAGACAAATATCTCCGCTATTGATACACATCCGCAGATGTGTGGGATCCCAGCCCGAAAAAGGGCTGTCAATGGTCGTCTTTGCACATCGGCTCGGAGGGGATCGACCGATACCCCTCGTTAAAGGAAGCAAGGAGGAATCTCTTGAGACTCTTGAGAAATCAAGTTTGTCCCCAAACCCCGCAAATTTCCTTCTCCTTCACTGTCTCAACGCTGATTTCCCCCCCCCCCCCCCCCCCTTGTCGTCACTGATCCACTCAGCGGGAAAAAAAAATTCTTTCTCCTGACCTGGCAGCGGCCGTTCGAAGTGCATCGCTGGCTGCAGCTGGCAGTAGGTGACTCCCCCGACATTCTCTCATCCATCGACGAAGCCAGTGAATGAGCCAAGAGAGGCGGCAGTGGCACAACAATGGGTTTCCATCCACGGCCAATCCCCCTAGAGAATAAAAAATGGCCGGATATGCTAATGACAGCCAGGGTAATGGATGGGATGGAAGAAGGGGAGATCCCGGCGGGGGTAAATGGATTTACATGTTAACCCCCAGCCACTCCAGAATAATGGATTATAATTTTTCGCCCCCTTACTCCTCCTCGTCGGTTCCCGATCCCTCCCAGACAGCGAGACGTGACTGTACCTTGAAGGACCTGCGTGGTGAGATGTTCCCAGTCGGGATGCTCTCCGTAGAAGACATTCGGAGAGAGCTGTGCGAGGCGATTCTCTCGAAGGTCCAAGGAGAGAGATCTGGACCTGGATGCGAAGGAGGCCAGGAGACCCGATGGAAGGTTCCCCACGTTCGTGCCGCGAATCCTGATCAGCATCTCCGTCCCTCTTTCTCCCAATCCCTACGTGGATCCATTCGCTCAACACCCGGCAGGATGGGGAACTAAGTCGACGTATAGGCCTATACGTAAATGCCTCTCATCACGCGAAGAGGCTAGCCGGTGTTCCACTGGATCGTACGTAAGGGCTTCAATGTAAGATGTGATATGACATGCACTCGATCGTCTGCATCTGTTACAGACGAGATTGGGAACCCAGGAAATCCTCTGTACTAAATATAAATGGCAGCTCCTTACCGGGGGAAAGAAGGAGGAGGAAGGGGAAATCCGACTCCTTGCAAATATATAGCTACTGTCGCTCGCTTGTTCTGTAAGTGACACGGCGTCGTAAACAGGGTCACGTATCTAACCGGCGGTCGTATAAATAAAGGTGGCATGAAAGGCCTTGATGAGAATCGACAGGAGGAAAGTCGGATTTAATGGGGAAAGGAAGCCCCTGAAATATCCGCCTGGGATCCAATTACTCCGCACTAATCAGTGGCGTGGATCTAAGCTCCGGAGTCCTTTTCGAGTTTCGAGTAGCATCTCCCCCGGGCTCCAGGATGTAATCTAAAACTAGGATCTGTATCGCGTGGAAGGATACTCCATTCAAGGTTGAAAACCATGGGGCCGTTGCGTGTAGATTGACGATAACGGGCACCGATGGAGATGGTCTGCACACACGAGCGCGCATCGAACTGCTTTCAATACGAAAGCAATACCAAAAATTAATCAAGTATATGAGGACAGTCCATGGATTCTATTTCAGGCTTCGGGGAAGGAAGTGTACGTCCTGTACTCGCTGAATTAAATTCATTTTCGTGACCCTTTCAGCAGATGTTCATGTCATCTGATTTAGGCATAATGTGGAATCAACTTCCAGGAGACGAAGCAGTCAGTCGGATTGAGGGATCAAGGACAGGGAGACGACACCTGGCCATTTCAGACCGTTGTTGACCGACAAGTTCTCAATTATACTGCACAGAAAAGACCGATGCCATCGATGAAAACCTTTGAGGGGCAGACTGACAAAGGACAACTTAGCTCGTAACAATACAGACTCAGGCACACAATGGGAACAGATCTGTATTTACGTCGTCGAAAGTTGTGTGTTTTTATATTTTTATTCGACGAAGACAGCAAATAAAGTATTCTCTAAGGCTTCCACCGATGAAGTAACCTCAATCTCCAGGGAAATATCCGCGAAATACTCAATCAGACCGACGAATAATACGACGCTCTTTCTCCCGGATTCACAACCGTTTCCATTTTGGGATAATGGGGAACGGGAACTGGAAAGAATTCAGTCGAACAGCAACCCATCTTTACGGTGCCTCATGGGTATGGAATGCGAAAAAAAAAATTCCTCCCCATTCCCCACCACAATCGTGCCGATTGGCACTCGCAAAAGATTCCTTCGATCTGGCATCCTGGGCCCCCCCGGAAGTTCTACATGTCTAAAGGACTCGCTCGGCTCCAGATCACAGAGATCACATTCGTAGGCAACATCGATTTTCTCAACGTACGATGACATACGCCTTTGAGCTGCCAAGAATTTCCACCCTTCCCTAATCGTCATGGAACCACTCTGTTATTACGATATTCACGACAGAAAATCTTAATTCTCTCAAAGCGATGCGTCTTAGGGTTGCGCAGTTCATTTTTCTCATTTCATTTTTCGGCTCGAGATTCTTCCAATCGACACACGAGCACGCAAAACGGACAGGCCCAATGAAATCTATCATCGGATACACCGACCGACCTCGCAGCACGAGAAAAATAACAAGCATCGGTCGAGACAGAAGCTTTCCTTTGGTCTGCCTCGTTCTGTTTCATTGATCGCAATCGATTCGCCCGGGGCGAATCTCGCACGTCCGACGATGTCTCTCTACTTGTAGAGAAGCAGAAGAAAAATGGGATCCGCTGCGATTGCTTGTTAGGTGTTAGCGACTCGCCGCAGCAAAAACGCCGGGATGGAATAACTTCCTATCCAGAATCTCAGTCTATGCATCGAAGGGCTGAAAGGAAATATATTTATCTGACAGTTAGGTAGTACAGTTGGTTTAGTGCTCATAGAACCATTCTCCTTTCATTGTGCAGAGTAGTTTTGAGAATCATGCTAAAGAAAAACTGGTCTGACCGTGCATACCACTTTTCATCATTTTTAAGATGGTCAGTGGAATACTCTTTCTCAGTGGAACTCGAGCTAAGTATATACATATATATATTTGCAGATAAACCACCTTTTCTTTCAGCTCTTCCATTGTTTTCGAGAAGGAAAACTTTAGTCTGAGATTGCGACGGAATCGAGTTTCCCCACTTTCCGACTGTGAAGATATATGAGAACCTAGGTCATGTTATTCGGCATTCATCCGAGGCAGCCCCGGTAACCTTCCGAAGCTCTATCCCAGTTTTGCTACGAATGGCTTCAAGGCTCCCGCAATAGTGGCTGCCTCGAAAATGTACCCCCTATTCATCCCAACTTCCCCGTGACCGCTTGGCATCGTTTGGCAGCGCACGTCGTCGATACGCTATTTCTTTGTTAGAAATTAATTGTAGATAAACCAAGTAGACTAAAACATTCTGGTAATGATGAAAGAGCTGTGAAACTTGAAGTATTAAAAAGTGCTTTTGACGTATGTATATGGAAAAAAAATCAGTGGTTCGAATTCTTTCTTCAGATTCTATGAATTTGAGGTCATCTAATCTGTCGAGGGCGCTTATTGACCCCCCCCCCCCCCCCCTCTCCGACCTCCAAGTTAGTGTAGAAGTTGTGTAAAGGAGCAAAATTCATGAATAATGATGAAGGACTCACCCGGAAGGCTTTGGATGATATGTTTTCAAGGTTTTTGCCTCGGATCTCCAGAACCCGTAGCTTCGGCGAGAAACTTCCCCCAAGTTGATCTACGAGTTGATTCTCCCTCAGATGCACCTGAAGCTCCTTCAGGTGCCTCAAGGGCCCGAGGAGGGTGGCAAGGCTCACCCGCGGCAGGAGTCTTTGATATGTATCGATGCTCAGGTACCTCAAATGAGTCAAATTCCCCAACGCCCCGACGTCCACCCCTCGAAGGTAATCCAGACCCTGGAGGGAGAGACGGTCCAGGCGGTCCAAGTTCGCGAAGGCCTTCGCGTCGAGTGCCGTCACGGGATTGTGCGACACGTCCAGGACCGTGAGCCTCGGCAAAGGCTTCCACGTGTCCCCGTGCAAACGTTCCAACTGGTTGAAGGACAGATCCAGTTCCTGGAGGGATCGTAGGAGGGAGACGGAATCCTGCGAGAAATCCTTGATGAAATTGTGCGAGAGATTGAGCACGGTGAGACGGGGTAAAGGAAGGATGGGCATCTCCGTCATCCTCGTCGATGCCAGGTTCAGCTCTTTCAACTGACCGACGTAGTGAAACAACTCCCTGCAATTCCAATCGTCTCATAAAACAATCTATGCATACCAGATGATTGGGAAAAAGGAATCTACCCTCGCTAATACTGAGTGGGATGCACTATACCAAGACTAACGGCTGTCAAAAGCCTGTGAGAGAGTTGAGTTTTAGTCGAGTCTATGTGACGGCGGAATCACTTCTACTTGGGATCAGATCGCTAGCGGGGTTATTGCCCTTGTGTATACACGCGATATACATTAATGTATCATGTAGTGAATGTATCATGAAGCAGATAAACTTAGAATACACTATGGAAGACCAATCTCGACGAGTGACCATCATACCTGAAGTTGCCCTTGAGGTTGTTCCGGCTGAGATCGAGAGAGACGATAGTGGGCAGGGCGAGGAAAGTGTTATCGGGCAACGTCGTGAGTCGGTTCTCGGCCAGGGAGAGTCGGGTCAACCCCGGGCAGCAGGGAAAGGACATGGAATCTACGTGCTGCACTGCGTTCTTGGAGAGGTCCAGGACCCTGAGGGTGCTCTGTAGGGCGTCCAGGGCCAGGCCGGGGACAGACGACAGGCGGTTATCAGACAAGTCCATCCGGTGGATACTCGATCCCCTGAAGATCCCCGGGTGGAGAGCCGTGAGGTAATTGTGACTCAGGTCCAGGACTTCCAAGGTCTTGAGACCCTTGAAGCAGTCGGCCGACATGCCTCTGAGTCGGTTGTGCGACAAGTTCAGCACCTGAAGGGCGTAAAACTTGGAGCCAGAGAAGGCTTCCTGATGCAATTCTGCCAAATTGTTCTTGCTAAGGTCCAAAACCGCGAGCCTCATCTGCTCCTTGAAGTCCTCGTTCCTCACCGCCTGGATCCGATTCTCCCTCAGATACAGCTTAGTCAGGGAGTGCTTGCATTGTTCCAGGGCCTCCTTGGGGATACGGGCGAGATAGTTGTGCGACAAATCCAGCACTGTCACCTGACACGAAGTCCCAGGCGTGAGACTCTCCAGGTGATTTGAGGAAAGATTCAGCAGCAGGGATTCAGACAAGACAGAGACGTTGACGAAAGCGTTCAGGCTGAGTTGCGAAAGGAAATTATCCTGAAGGTCCAGCCTCTCCATCATCGGTAAGTCGACAAACGACTTCGGCTCAAGTCGGACGATGTCGTTATTGGCCAGCGTGAGAAATGCTAGTTGAGGAAGCTGTCGAAATGCCGACGATCTAACGACGGTGATCCGATTGGATGCCATCAGGATGGATCTCAGGGCAATCAATCCCCTGAACGTATCCGTGAGGATCTCCGTGATGGAATTCACGGACAATCTGAGATCCACGAGGAATCTGTGGACGTTATGGTTGAACACCCCGACTGGCAGGGTTTTGATCCGATTGTATTCCAGGTTCAGGTATCGGAGGTTCCCCAAATATCTCAGGGAATCGAGTGGAACGTCCATGATGTCGTTGTTGTCTAGGCAAAGCCATTCCAAAGCCCTCAGAAGTGACAGGGAGTCCTTGGGGAACGTGGGCGTCCCTCCGAGGGCAAAACTCAGATCGAGCCGCTGCAAGTTGATTGCCAAGTCCGCGAACGCCTCCGGCGGTATGTCTGTGATCCGGTTGAAGCTCAGGCTCAGGTCTCGAAGCCTGGGAAGACTTGAAAAGGACCTCCGTTCGAGGGACGTGATCTTGTTGTTCCTCAGGAGCAGCGTCTCTAGGTTGTAACTCCAGGATCCGAAATGGGACTGGTTCACATGCGGGATCTGGATCGTGCAGGAATGCATGCAACGTTTCACATGGATTTTCATCGATACGCGGACTTCAATCAGTCACTTAAATTTGCATTTAAAATGTATTTGTCTCGAGCAAAGATTATCCGAAATCATAGTTTATTTGCAACAAAAAAAAGTTGATGAAATACTGATAGACGCGATAAGGCACATGACAAACTCACGTAGTTGCCTCCGAGATTGAGTTGAACCAAGGAGAAGCAGCTTTGGAGGCCAGGAGAGGGAAATTCAGTCAGATGATTCCCCTCCAGTCCCAAAATCTGGAGCTTTGATCGGTCGCTGCACAGGGACCCCGGCGGGAGATCGCTAATCGAATTGCGGGAAAGGTGGAGGGAGACGAGGAGAGGAAGAGACTTGATGCCCTCGGGGACCATCGTCAGGCTGTTCCCTTCCAGGCTCAGCAGGGACAGCGGCTGAGACACGAACGCCTGCGGGTGGATATCTCCCAAACCGTTCTTCCCCAGGTATAATCTCTCCACCTTTTGAAAGATTTTCAATTTCCTCGGTTTTTCTCGTAGAGGGCAAAGGATCGAACGATTCCGAGCGATGATGGAGCACGATCTCCCGATGGAGTTTTGAAATATCTCGAGAAAACAGATGGGCGTCTTCCATCTTTTAATGGGTTCCAAGAAGCATTCCACTCAACCGTGAGATCTTTGAAATATCGTTGTTCGCAAGAGGGTTCTAATGGTATTCCTCTCGGCTTCATTACACTGATGATTTCCCCCCATTATTGTTGTGATTGGTAAATGAGTCAAATGACCTTCTGTTCCATAGTTGCAGATAGCTATCTGGGACGCTTTCCGCAGAATGGTGCTACTAAAAGCCCCGAGCTGATCCGATAACGAAGTTTTACTAGACTGCATGTGGAAAAGAGAAGAAAGGCTTTATTGCTGATTCACATCTTGATGAATAAGGAGAAAAAAAGAAAGAAGGGAAAGGGAAGTAGGAAGGCGGCAGAAAGAAATGGGGTCGCCGATATGTGTACAGTAGACCTGGACGGGAAGGACCTCCCGCCCTTCATCCAGACCTTGACCTTGTCCAACAATCACATCTCTTCGTTGAAGGCCTCCGCGTTGCTGGATCTGCCATCCCTGCAAGCCGCGTCCCTGAGCGGGATCTTTCCCCCCCCCCCCCCCCCCCCCTTCCCTCCCCTCCTTGTCCTCGTGGGAAATCACTCAAGGAAACTACATTTACTCGGCTCGTCAAACCCACATCACCCTCTTTCAACGGCGGAAGAGGACTCACCCTGTAGTTGACGAGGTCGTCCTTGTCAAGCTTTCGGATCCGATTGTGTTCGAGGTAGAGTTCGACGACGGAGACAGGGTTGTCGAAGGTGAGATTCGGGACCTCCTTCAGAAAGTTGTCCGACAGATGAAAGCTGTAGAGACGGAGGGACCTGGTCAAGGAGCCCGAGGCGATGCTCTCCAGCCCGTTCCCGCTCAGGGACGCGGCTTGCAGGGATGGCAGATCCAGCAACGCGGAGGCCTTCAACGAAGAGATGTGATTGTTGGACAAGGTCAAGGTCTGGATGAAGGGCGGGAGGTCCTTCCCGTCCAGGTCGCTCAGTCGATTATCTCCCAGATGAAGGACCCTAAGTCGCTGGAAAGACGAGAATCCCCCGTCTGGGAGCTTGGTCAAGTGATTCTCGCCCAGATACAGAGACGACAACGTCTTCGACAGGATTTCCAACTCCTCCCTCGTTGCATTCAGGATCTTATTCCTACAACACAGGTCACGCATGAGTCACGGACTCACGACTCGTCGAAAGAAAAAACAAAAGTTAATTTGTGAATGCGGAATAATCTGGAGCAATCACCCGTGAAGGCTGAGCCAATCTAAATTGGAGAGGTCTTTCAATGCATTGACTGGAATGGCTTCTAGCTGGTTCCCCGAGATCTCCAGGGACCTCAAGCTGTGCTTGCTGGACCTAAAATAGTACAAATAAAGACTCCGCCATGCTCTCCATCTGGCTTGTATTTTTGCGACATGTATCTTCTGTATGTGAGACCTGAATGCCTTTTCGTGAATGTGCTTGAGTCCATTGCCAAGGAGTCGGATGCTCTGTACGTGAGATCCTTGGAGGGAATCCGCTTCCAACACTTCCAAATCCCCCCCGATCAGGTCTGCATGAAACAGCTTCCCCTCCGGTAGAACTGAGACGTTCGGCGGAAGAAAAAAAATGCAGTAATATAAATCATGATACAATCAAATGAAGACTATTCCATATCCTCTTCCTCTATTCCTTCAGGGATATTATATTGCAGCGAGAAGATGGATACCCTTGTGCGGGGCGACGGGTACACGGAGACAGACGAGCTCCTGGGAATCGGGGAAGTTCTCCTGATGAGTGGAAAAGGGGGCAGATTTTGCACTGATGGATCCTTGGACGGACCCACATTGGCAGAGCGCATTGAACCGACACGGCTTGTGATCCAGGCCGTTTCCTTCCCCCTGCCCCAGTAGGGTAAGGGCAAGGGTAAGGACCAAGGTGGTCGGCGTCATTCTCTTCCTACCCTCCTCGTGTCCTCATCTTCTTCCTCGGGCATGCCTTCCTCTTCTGTGAACAATAGGAGAGTAATGTTGTCCCTGAATCCCTGGCATAGCAAAGCGAAATGAATACAGTATCATTGCCCTCATGCCTTTGAGCTCCCGGTGCATTATTTATCGCTGGACGCAGTATATCAGCATATCGATCATTCCCCTCGTTATTATCGCCCTCGGCCTATGTCAGCCTGCATGTATAGTGCTAGGAGGGGGTCTTTTATGATGTCCCTGACATATGTCTCAATTTTCTCTTCATCTTCCATCCGGGCTTCATTACTATTCTCACCCTACCCCTCCCCTCCCTTTCCCTTCGATAGGTCCGTCAATAAGTGCCGACCCCAGCGACGGAGTTCCGGGCACCACACAAAGAATTATACCCCCAAAACACCCTGAAACTTCAGAAAGAAAATGAATTCAAGATGGGATGAAAAGCGGAAGAAAAAAAGCCTGGGATTCTAATGGGATCTCCTCTCGTCTGAAGCCCATCATTGATTATCAAGGAGGAAAGAAACTTCATTCCCCTTCTCATCGTGGAATAAATTAGGAGGGGGGGGGGGATGCTTTAAAAATGCATGAGGGGATGTCTCTCGTCTGAAGCCCATCATTGATTATCAAGGAGGAAAGAAACTTCATTCCCCTTCTCATCGTGGAATAAATTAGGAGGGGGGGGGGGGATGCTTTAAAAATGCATGAGGGGATGAGAGCATAGATTGATGGGGGTTACATGGTGCGCACCGAATGCATACAGAACACATAATATACGCATTGAAAGCAGGCTGTAATCTCGGTTGGATTCTCATGTAATGGCAGCATTATCCCTCATACTGCACCTGCCTATTTGTGAGTGAGCGAAGGGGAAAGAGGAAAATAAACAACGAACGCCCCTCTGAGAAGTCTCCTTTGAGTCGCCCACCAGCAGAGAATTTTCTAGAAGACGCTATTAATAGTCCTTACCTCTTGAAGTATGAATTTCATCCCCTTCGTTCTGGGGGGTTCTTGATATTTTGCAGCTCCTAATAAGGAATTTGGAAGGCCTTTCACGATAAAGGACTACAGGATTGCCTGATCATTATCCATGGGGGACATTTGACTCTGAAGTAATTAATCATTCCACCCGAGAGAAGGTTCTTGCAGTTAATCGCCTCTCATTGAATCAATTTTCCCACAGAGATCGCACGAGATAGGATCCAGAAGCAGCATGACACAGATATTTGTCAGAGGTTTTTCAAAGCATGATGGATTGGCACGTTCCACGAAGTTGTTTTGGGAACAAAAAATAATAACGAGGTAAGGACAATGACTTCATGCCAACGAATGATGAGTACAAGGCGGAATCATGCAATGTTTTTACTCACGAATCTGTCCTTGGCATCGAGGCATTCCCCCCCCCCCCCTAATTTATTCCACGA